GCAAGCTTGTCTGGGGATCCACAACATTCAAGTGTTCTGATTAGACCTGATGTGGGCAGAGTCAGATCCTTTGGTGCTTTAAATGATTGGGGCAGCTGGTGGCTCATTTAGGGTGGGGTTCTTTATGTTGCTAATACTAGTGGGACTTTTAACAGGTATGAGCAATGGTGGGAGACCTTCACAAAACAGGGCTTCTTTACACAGAGCTTCTTCCCAAAGGACAAGTATGAATCGTACTCATAGGGGAAGTTTTTTCTTTGAAACGCTATGAGATTGTTTTATGTCCTGAAACATGAAGGTTTATTTTCCTTCCAAATATTTATCCTACCTACCCTAACTGTGGATGTTCTACTAACCATATAAGCCCCACGCAGCATACATGCAGATCACTTTTTCCAGGAACTAGAGCTGGGCGTGAACCCACACCTCAGCTCCAAATATTTCTGAACTTTTGGGTAAGTTCAGATCAGTAGCCTAATTTAGTAGCTGACCTTAATTTCTATTTTGGACCAACCCTCAGATTTGTATAGCCTCAAATTCTGGGAGAGCTTGGATTTAAAATTCAGATTCATGATCTGTCTTGATGAGGAACAATAATCTGAGCTGGACAGGATGCATAGGAAATGAATGTGGTACATGCTAAAAGATGCCATCCTAGTGGGATTTTTAAGAACACCTAAGCAAATTAGGGGCCTAACTTCCATTCATTTCAATGGTACATATCTACATCTTTAGGCACCTTTGAAAATCTGGTCCTAAGTTCGTACACACGCTGTAGTTGGGTACATCTTATGTCACTACAGAAGAGAAAAACAGTATTTACTCCCTTTGAGCCAGATCCTATCCATATTCTCAGTGTAAAAGGTCCTACATGAAGAACCACCACTGTGATTCCATGGCTCGTGGGTTTTAGGTCTTGGACAAGAGATAGATCATGGCTTGTGACTCCATAGAACACTGGCCATGTCCCAGTGCCTGTGAATGGGAAGTGTAGGGCAACAGCTGCTATTAGAGCCTATTGGCTACCAAGACAGCTAGCTGTGCAACGTCTGTTTGCAGATTGACAGGGTGTTTTCCTCTCAACTCTTACAAAGAGCACCTGCGTAAAGCAGGTTTCTTTAGGCTTTCTGCAACAATTTGGAGGCTAGATCAAACTAGGTCTTAGGTCCAGTGGCAAATCATTGCTCCAAATTTGAAAAGAGGATGTCTGTTTTAGCAAGAATGACTCCGAACAGAGGGGCAAATGAGAATTTTGTTTAACTCCTTATACTTCACATGGCCTGAATAATTTTTTAAGAATAAGGGATCCTCACAGTTTAATTCAAAATAATATTTTAGCGGGTCAAGTACTTTGCCAATATGGTTCAGAGTGCCATTCTTGTCATGTGAAAATGGAAAAGAGCTCCTTTTTCTTGCACTCCTTTCAGGAAGGGTTTTGTCTGATAAACTGCATAATTTATTAGTTGAAAAGCAAATACAATAATCTGGAGAGTACAAAGATTATCTAAACAGCGCCACTAGTAATGGCTTTACCCCTCCCAAGGGTTTCCTGCTTTAAAAGGTCCCAAGTTGATGATTATAGTGTCTGTCCTCAGAGTCATCCATAAGCCTAATAAGAGTGCTAGTACCTATTTTTCTAAGGAATATTCGTAGAATTTCAGTAAGGAGTGTGGCGGGTTTAATTCTTATTGCAGTTTAACAGACATTCTCAAGAGTGGACATAGTAAGCTCTGCTTTCCAGAGATCAAAGTTAGTAGTGGAATGGCTCTTGAAAATGGTCAGTGGCTTCCCAAGTGACGATACGGGTGCAAAATATGTAGGTATGTATTTCCATGTGTTCTAGCTCAGACTGGACATCATTTTCAGTTGTCGTGGGCTCGTGTTCCCGAAGTTCTAATAATGGATCATATTTTAACATACACATTGTCTCAGACACTCTCCGATGCATGATCTCCATGGCAGCCGCATCAATTGATTATATAAAAGTCATATCAGGAAAGTACTGATGTGTTTTTCAGCTGTCTTTCGAGCAACATGTGGTTTGTCCCTTGCAGGGGAAAAAATTTCCTTTGCTCATCATTTCAGTTTCTGTCAGAACAACACAAGGAGAAGTGACAGCACTATTTGATCAGGCACGCTCTTTAGAACACCTGCAAAGCGCCACAGACCATAGTTTGGGAACCTCTGATCTAGTCCTTCCCCCTTTCACTTCATCTAATCTGTCCAGTACCTGTATTTTTAAATTTGCTCTTATGCACGTACAGAGTAATTCCACCTGGGAATGTATTTTTCTTCAAGTAGTGTCCCTATTGGTGCTCTACTATAGGTGTGCACACGCCCCTGCACTTCAATCGGATAATTTCAATATTAGTCCATCCTAGCAGCACACTCGGCTCCTCGCCTGCCACAAGTCTAGCCAGCATGCGTGGGCATTTCTCCCTCAGTTCCTTCTCAAGCACAGAACATTAACTCCTGATACTTTTGCAATTTTTTTTTGCTTATGTGAAGCCCCTTTCTTTTAGTACTCATTTGTTTTTAGTTGAGTATGCCTAAAAAAAGAAAAAAGAAACAATAAGGTGTCGCCTACCGCCCCCACAATGGACAAGTCACAAGGGTATCTTGGCTCCCCAGGCTTCAAAAAGTGTCTTAGCTGCAAAGATTCCATCCCAGTAATGGGCGAATGTTAGCAGTGTATTTGCTGCCTTAGGGAGAAGCACAATCGACAAAGGTGTGGTTGATGCCAGCAGCTAAAATCCAGGTCCAGGAAGGAGAGAGAGTTAAGGCCAAAATTCCTGCTTATAGAGTTGGCCCTTCAACCTCCAGAGTCCTGGAGTGAGATATCACTGCAAACTTCTACGTTGAGGCAGGTGATTCTAAGGAAACGAGCCAGTCACTAACGACTGGTAACAAGAGGTCTGTGAATCCCTGTAGCGAGGTCTTGTTGAAGAGAAAAAGGGAAAAAGCAAATACCATTCTGATTGCCCCTACCTGGCCCAGTCAGACATGGTACCGTTACCTGTTTCAGCTGGCCTTCTGTTCACCAGTGACCCTACCAATCAGTCCCTACCTCTTGTCACAAAACAAGGGTCACACCCTTCACCACAGTCCATGGGTCCTGCACCTCAAAGCAGGGCTCCTTCATGGTTCCAGCACACAGAGGCATCCTGCTCGGAGGTGGTATAGGAGGTACTATTGCACTGTAGGAAGTGTGTTACTTGTCACACCTACCTGTAGAAAACGGTAGAGATTCCAGATATGCTGCCAACCCAAGGATATCACCCCTAATTCAGCCACCTTACTGGTGATCCTGGACTATCGGTTATCCCTAAAGAAATTGGGTCGATCTGTTAGCTCGCTGAAGGTTCACTTGACAGCAATTGTAGCCAGAAGGTAGAAAGCTATTCAATCTTCTCTCACCCAGCTATGAAGAGGTTTCTAAAAGGTATAGCAAACCTCTTCCCACAACCCCAGACCCTCATTCTGCAATGGGACTTCAACATAGTTTTAAAGGGCCTGAATAGACCACCGTTTGAACCCATGGCCACTTGCTTGTTAACTCACCTTTCCAGGAAGACAGCGTTCCTCATCGCCATCACTTCTGCCAGAAGGATAAGGGAGATAGCAGCTTTGAGGCACATTCCCTTTTACGGTGTTCTTCCTGGACAAGGTCACACTCAGACTGCACCCGAAGTTCACTCTCAAAATAACTTCTGCATTTCACATGAATCAACTCATTCAATGCCCAACATTCTATCCAAAACCTCATACGGATAACAGAGAGATCATCTTCCATACACTCGGTGTGTGGAGAGCTTTGGCCTTCTACTTAGGACAAAAGCCTTCCGAAAATCTCCGAGGCTCTTCCTTTCAGTTGTGTAAAGGTCAAAAGATGCAGTGATCTCAGCTCAAAGGCTCTTCGAGTGGGTCTTAACTGTATTAAACTCTGCTACCAATTTTGGGCGGGGGGGGGTAACATCCCCACCTTCAGTACTCTCGCATTCCACAAGGTTGGTCTCCTAGTCAAATGCCTTCTCTTAGGGTATCCCCATATCAGAGATATGTGGAGCAGCTACATGGGCATCTACAGATACCTTCGCAGAACACTATGCCATTCTGAGTGATTTGGCTTCAGACGCCCAATTCAGGGCCTCTGTACTATCAGTTGTATCAGACTCGACTCCGAAGTCCCGGCCTCCAGTGGTGGGTACTGCTCAGGAGTGCACTCCAGTAGGAACATTGCAACTCACCTTGTGGAGTAATGATGTTCTTTGAGAGGTGAGTCCCTGTGGGTGCTCCACAACCCTCCCTCCTGCCCTCTACTTCGGAGTTGCACTTGTTGACTCTACAGTAGAGAAGGAACTGAAGGAGAAATGCCCGTGCATGCTGGCTAGCCTCATGGCAGGTGGGGAGTGGCGTGCGCGCAGGCAGGACAGACTGCACAAGGTGAGTAACTTCTTCCTTCTTAATTATACTCGGCCAAATTCTGCCCTGACCTACAGCTGTGCTATCTAATTAGGCCTACTACCACGAAGTACACAAATGACTAAGTACACAAATGGCTCATGTTACCTTTCCAGCCAAATTTCTGATAGGAAGAGAAGAGGAAGGTTGAGTTTTGTGGTTAAAAGTGCAGGGCTGAGTGTCATGAGCCTGGATTCTATTCCCAGCACTGACTTGAGTGTCTTGGGCAAGTCACTTAATCTCTCTGCGCTTCATTTTCTCCCTCTGTTAGAGGATGATATTTTACAGGGACGTACTGAGGCTCAGTACCAGGCAGTTCTTCACATGTTTGTTAGTAGTGTACAGTACTCAAACCTATTGAAGTCACTTCCATTAATTTCATTGGGCTTTGGATCAGACCCTTAGATGCCCATAATCATAAGTAAAAGCTTTCAGGATTGATCATTTTAATGTTTGTAAAGTGCTTTGAGTTTAAGATGGAAGCTATTGTTGAAATGCAAAATAATATTACATTTTCAGTTTTGTCCAAAAAGTCACAATTTAATTTATTCAAAAGTATTTATTTCACAAATTTTTATCCACAGCTGAATATTACAGTAACTATTACAAGCATTTTCCTATAAACAAAGGTGTAGTTTACAGATTTGTTCAAAATGGAAAAATATTTTATCAGCAGTAGTATTTCATCTACATTCAGGGTTCACCCCCCTGAATATCATTCAAACTCCTTCAGAACAGCTGCACCTTCTGCTTGTTAAGGTAATGAAACTTCACACAAAAAAATAGGGCTTGGACTGGTATAGTAGCACATTTTTGGATAGAGTTGGAGTGTTTAAATTTCAGTTTTGTTTCAGGATCTATTTTCTGACATTTGCAGTTTTAAAAAAATAAATTCTATACTCTTGAAGGGAAAAATATTTTCCAAATTGTTTCACTTTAACATTGACTCTGCTATCATTTCAGAAAGAAAATAATTTTCAGTTATGGTTGTACTATATATAATTCAATAAGGTTGGAAGAGAAGGTGTGTGGTGGTTCATGCAATATACTTTAATTATGTTGGCACATTTAAGTGCAGTTAGGAAATGTTAATTCTGCAACACTGTCCGCAACAATATTAGTCTGACAAGAATAAGTTTACATAGTCAGATAATAGGCTGAGTAGGAAAGAAATATGACCTAGTATTACAAGTGTTTTATCATTAATGTCACTTAACCCTTTTGCAATTCACACTTGGTCTGTACAAATTGAGGGTGAAATCTTGTGAACACTTACACATCTGAATAATTTTACTCATTGATCAGTCAGATTGGGTTTGATTCTCCACTATTATTGGTCTTACAGCTAATAGTGTGGAAAATCAGTCTATTGACTACAATGGGATGCCTCACAAAGTTATTTATGTGTATATTTGCAGGATCAAGGTATACAATCTTGCTATCATTGCTCACTTATGATAAGTTCCAGTGGATTCAATGATGTAATTGAGTGAGGATTTTTTTGCACAGGCTAGGGTTGCACAATTCAGTTTTGAGCTTTGATGGCGGATGTTCCTTTCCCCAAGCTTAGTGTAAATTTAGAGTAGCTGTGAAAGATCAACAGGAGTGGCTACAAAAATACAATTGAAACGAAACTGAAGCCAGTTTCATACTAAAATAAAACTTTTGGAAGTTATGTCCTGGATGTTGTGGAAGTGTCTTGAACATAGACTACACAACACAGAATGCATGCATGAAGTCAAGTATATGGCTATAGTCAGTGTTAATTATTTTTATATTACATACAGTATACATTTCCTTGGAGATTAGGGGGCTAGTCCCAATCATACCCTTAGAAATACAATGCATGGAAAAAAATGTGATGAGATTAAAATCTTTTTTGCAAACCTTCTCAGTGTAACATAATGCTTTATAAGCGAACTTCTAAATCTACAGACTTTATGATACCACATTAAAATTTTCCCACAGTTTAACACTTTTTTCAGAGAAACATTGAGAAGTCACAGTTATCTTAGTAACAGCTAAAGGCACACAGCGGGAAAATGCTCATCTTAGTCATTACTATTAAAAACAAATCTGAAAAGCAAAGTTTTCAAAAAGCCGTGCTTTTACATTGAACATTTTTGTTTTGTTTTTTTAACGTAAAGACATGGCAGGTTTTTGAGGGAAAAAGGCCTATTTGAGCGTGATAATACAACTGAATTAAACCAGATATTTTAAAAATTGCTAACAGAAAAGATCATGTACATTAAAGATATTTTCTGCAGAATCCTTTTCCAAATGCAGCTTAGTGGATAAGTTAAATTATTACACATCAACCATTAAATACCCAGTTCCTATCTATTTCAATACTAATGGTTTGTAAGAGATTCTTTTTATAATACATATAAATTAAGTTCCTTACTGCTCCCAGTGAAATTCCATTATCCCTTTGAAGAACATTAACCACATTTTACACCTGTGATTAGTAACAAGACCATTGTGGAAAAGGATTCTGCAGCTCTCTTTAATTTAGTCTGCTTAATAAGCATTAAGTTTGGTGAATCCTGTTGGAGTCGTACAGTGAATAATTTACAACATTAGAGAGAGGTAGAGACCTGAAGAGCCTGAGAGGAAACTGCTGGCATAAGATGAGTTGTGAGGATAGCATCTGTGTAACCATCTCACTGGACTAAGTTTTGCTTTAGATTATTTTTGTTTAGTGTGAAGATGGGTTCACTCCAGGAAAAACATAGGGTTTAATTGAATTATAAAATGCAGTGAAAAATTTAACAAATGCTTTGAAGAAATATTGTAGAGGAAGAGGTAGCTATAATAAAAAATACTACTTTAGACAGGTATTTGACACTGAGAAGAGCAAGAAAGTGGGTTTTCTGAGCTGCAGCCAACACGTAGTGTGATTCCTACTGTAAGCGGGAGGAAAGTGAAGGCATTACTGAATACATGCAATAGATGCAAATGATCAAGGAGTGTAGTTTGGAGGTAGTGCTGGTACTGTACAGGCAACAAATGTTCTGCTATTCTATATTATGGGCATTGGTTCTAGGAAAAGTTTCCTCCTTCGTTGTGAATTGGCTTAATTATATCCTTCACCGGTAACAGCTATGCTAAACCATAGTCTTTTGTTTGAGCGCATGTACTTTTACTGTGGACATAGTCCAATATAACTCTTAATAGCACTTATTTAACGTTTGCTTTTTATAGCGATATACATATACAGGACTATTATAAGGTGTATATACATAGATTATATACATAATGTCTAAATCAAGACACACTCCTTGTCTAAAAGGTGACCACGGTATGTTGTGTTTGGGGTGTAATGTATGTCTAAGAGATTCTCACGTTCTGGGATAATTGGATACCTAATAATAAATTTGCTATTTGGAGATGATTTATAGCAACTAAAAATAGTCTGAAAAATGCAGATAGGTTTTTCTCAAAAGCACTTTGTCATCATGGAACTGCTGAGACACTTAAGAACCATAGCAGTAAATGCAAAGAAATCAAGATTTTCTTAGGCAGGACCATTAGGGAGGTGCACAGGCCTACATGTTCATGATTCGCAAAAGATTGGGCCTTTGCAAGTGACAAATATCCCCATTGCATTTTGCAGCCTGGAAAGTTAGAACTGCAAAAGTGTTGTGACCTTAGAGCTGAAAAGGTCATAATTTGCAAACAGGCCCCACCACAAAGTAATACAATCATTGCTGTTATATGGCATTGTCTACCTTTAGATGCCATTTTCTTCTAGTAAGGATAGCATTTCCTGTGACTACTGAGAGTTAAATAGATTCTGGCAAGTACTGAGAATGATCAATAAATGCTTTGGGAATAGCAGACCCATTTTAATTCCTGAATAGTGAGGAATAGGGAACTTTTTATATTAATAAGATTTCAAAAAATCCTATTGGATTACAATTCAAATGATTTTATCTGATAACTTCTTGTATTTGACAGTTTTCAATTCATTATTCTGATAGGAATTTAAGATTATTGTTGACTTCTGTGTTCTGTTAATAAGTGCTTTGGGTTATCAAAATACTAGTTATAGGATTTTTGAGTTGGGCCATGTCTACACTTACAAGCTTACAGCGGCACAGCTGATTCAATACAGCTGTGTAGCTGTAAGAGCACTTATTTAGCTGTGTTATGCCAACAGGAGAAAGCGTCAATATAATAAAACCAGCTCGGTGAGTGGCAGTAGCTATGTCAGCAGGAGAGCATCGCCTGCCAACAAAGCATTGTGCACATGAGCGCTTATGTCGGCAAAATTTATGTCACTCAGGGAGGTCTTTTCACACCCCTCAGCGACAAAAGTTTTGCCGACATAAGTGCTAGTATAGACATGGACTTAAGTCATTCAATTTCTTACGCATTCTCTTTTGCTTTAAAACACTGTGAATTAAACAAATTATTGCTACTATTCCTTTTGTTACTTTAGGCCCAGAAGCTGCATCACTGATCAATAGAAGTATTGCTATTGAATTCAATGGGTAAAATTCTGACCCTGTTGAAGTCAATTGGAGTTTTTCCACTGACTTAATTAGGGCTACGATTTCACCCAGTGTGAGCAGGATCAGGAACTGGATTGGATTTACATGAGTTATCCACACATATGAAGATTGCCAGAATTTATAGAATGGTGTAGGCAGAGCCATCCCTTGGGTATGGCAAATCGGAGGCCCCGCGCTTCCATAAAAACATGAGGAGGTGAGGCAGGAGGGCGAGCAGGGTCAGGGGGCAAATGGGGAGTGAGAAGGCGAGCGGCAGCCCCCCTGCCAGAACCTCCCTCTCCCCACAGGGCCTCCTGCCCACTGATCAGCACCTGTCCTTGCTTCTCAGTGCCTACTGTGGACCAGATATTTTGCTGTGTCAGGAGGCGCTGCGAGGGGAGGGGAGAGGAGCGGAACTGGGTGGGGAAGAGGCAGGGAATGGGTTGAGTCAGAGCTGGGTGAGGGGAGCACCCCCTGACAGATCAGAAACTTGGCGCCTATGTCCCGGGCCTCACATGAGGGATGGCCCTGGGTGTAGGTATAATTTTGTTACATGGATTCTGATACTGGTTATGTCAGCCCATGGAAACGGCGACTGCCCTCCATAATTATGTAAGGTATTAAAAACCGGTAGAGCATCTTTGTCTTCACTAGATGTGGCAGTATCTTAACTCCTATAAGCATAGGGTAAAGCCAGGAGTGGATTTTAGGATGAAAGTTTCCAATACTGACGTGGGGAGAGACACTACAGCCCCTCACCTCCTAGATTATTGCACCAGAAAGATTTGAGGCCATCACCACAATTCTGTGGGTGAGAGAAAGTCTAAATGGCCACCCCTAGCTACATCTCTGCAGTATGCACAGAGATGAAAGCGTATTGGATGGAGAGCAGTGGTGACTCAGGAAATCAGAATTCCTGACAAATAAAATCCACCTTAGACTGAAAACTATGCTTGTTTTCACCGACACCTTAAACTGTGTGATGAACACTTATTTGCACATTTTGCAACTTATATTTCTGAACTGACCATTGTGATACAGTGACTAGCAACAGGAAGAAATGTGAAATTGTATCTCTGCATTGAAATGCATTAATATGTACAAACCACCTTATCAATGCCATCGTTTTTCTGAAGACAGTGTTTTGACTTTGATTTTTATCTGGAGTTTCTTCATAGCCACTTATGAAGACCAAATTAACCATCTCCCACTTTCCAGTGTTTGCTGTTCATGTCTGTTGGAGACTCTGCTATGGGCTTTGCACTATTTCAACATGAAATCAAGCAGTAAAAAAATTCTGTATTTCAAGTATTCTTATTTTGAGCTGCAAGTTACAAAAAAAAAATCACATACAAGATCAGTTTCTTATTATAGTATAAAGTTTAGCACTAACTGATTACTGTGTATTGGTTCTTCCATAATCTTGTTTGGTCCACGTTAAAAAGATCTTTTTTTTTTTGCTTGAATTCTCTGGTGAAGGGGGACCGCTTTGAAGACATTTTCTTCAGACTTCGTTGAGAAATTCCAAGTTGAGAGAAGCAGGGATGTGAATAGAGTCCATGGTTATGGAGGATGGACTGAACGGAAACAAAACTGGGAACATATATTTGTAGTCTAACAGCAGCTGTGGTGGGTCATTTCGCTCTTGCAAATTTGCCTATGAGGTTTGTGTGGAAAAAATAAAAGGTTAGTGTGTTTTTCATCTCGATCATTGCTTTTTTATTTGCATTTGCAACACTTAACACAATAAATGGTCTGGAGAGAGATAGGGTGTATAGGATCTAAGGAAGCAGGGAAAATGTGCTCCAGTTTCATCCCAACGGGAGAAAACTTATTTCTTGAGCACAGCATGCTGGACAAATATAAAAGATGAAGTGATCCCTGCCGCAATCAGCATACAGTATGAAATTATGAATATCAAATATAAAGTCTCAAACACATTATTAAAAATGTCTCTCTCCGTAAGTCGCCTATGAATACTGATTGTGTATAAATGGAGCCTGACCAAATGGAATTTCTGAATGATGTAGGATACAGGACTTAGAGAGATGACAAACTAACCAGCCCTTTTTATGATTAGAGGAGAGGGAATAAAGATACACCAAGTAATTGAAATGTTATGAACATAAGCTTAAATCCTGGCAGGTGCTAGGCATAGCACTATGGCCAGTCAAAAGAGCATGGGCAGAAATATGTTCCTTATTCTGGTTTGTCTAGACCCTCTCTAGCAGGCTTTTAAGAGGAACAATCCAGAGTTGGGCATTATGGGGGTGGGAGTATTGAATGTATGATCCTGTATGCAGTCCCTACAAAAACTCTTGCTTCTGCTTTTCCAGAATGTTTTTGTGCTTCCTTGGGGACAGTTATGCCACTTCCCCTACACTGGCCAGATTTTGCCCCATTCTCTTTTCTGTCATCAGAAGTCTGCACTGGCAATACAGAATTTTGTTATCCACCCGGTATTTCTTTTCCAGTAATTCCTCCTCCACTGTGTTTTGCAGTGATCTTGCTTCAAGCAGTGAACAGACCTTGCCCCCGGAAATGCATCCATGATGCTGTATAAGTAGCCAGGAATTTTGCAGCAGAGCAACACAAGTTGTAAATTCCCACAAAGTGATGGAAAGTGCTGCCCACTCAACTCCAGGAGTGAGAGAGTGGACCTGGACACTGAATATGACTCCCTTGTGTAGCAGCACAGACTACCAGCAACATGCTTGTCCTTTTATCTAGTGCACCATCAGGACTGAGAAGAATGTTAAACATTAGCTACTATTTTCCTGCTTTCTCTTTTTGACATTCAAGATACCATGGCACTCTTCAGAAGAGCAGGGAATTTTCCCTAGTCACCTGGTAAAAATTTCCCCGCTCTCCACTAACGTGCTGTATGCTGGGTGGCAGTCTTCCATCTCAGAAGTGGTTGCATTTCAGTGATGTCCTACATTCCTGTATCCTACCAGCCTTATTTGCAGGACTAGTCCCATTGAGAAAATGAACACTTGAGCGCTCAGATACTATACTGATAAGTAGAACTGAGCAATTTTTTTTTTTTTTTGGTGAACAGTAGACCAAAATGTTGCAAATTTGACATGAAATTGCTGAATAGTTTCAGCCAAATCTTTGTTTTCAGGACTGAGATGCCATTCACAAAATGGCTGGAGGCTGAGACAATGGTAGTGCCTGCCTTGTACATTTTAGCCCAGTGCACTCACTTAAGATATGGAATAGGAGCCAGGTTCAATTGCTCCCTCTATCTGATCTGAAGAAGGGATTTAAACTTTGATCTCACAGCAGAAAAGTTCCCTTACCCCGGGGCTACTGGGTAGTCTGGAGTGGGTCTTTCTCAGTCTCTCCCGTTGAAGTGGTTCCACTTTGTATAAATAATTAGTCATTGGAGGTTGGGACAAAGACAGAGAGAAAATGACTATTCAGCCAAGTGGTTAGGGCACTCTTCTGCAATGTGGGGCACCCAAGTTAAAATCACTTCTCCATATCAGGATTAGGAGGGAACTGAATGTCTCTCTCCCACATCCCAGGAGAGAGCCGTAACCACTAGGTTAATGCTTCAAAGGGAGATGGCACCATCACCCCAACCTTCCTCCTTTTAAGGATATCTGGAAACAAAATGTTTCCTTCAACCCAAAGCAAACTTTTTCAATTCATCAAAGTTTTTCGGAGTTTCCAAATTTGAGCAGACCCACATTTATTTTGTTGGTTTTTTGGAACTGCCAGTGACCTGATAAATAGTTATTTGCCCAACTCTACTGATAAGGGCCACGTAAATACCTACATAGAAGTGAACAGAGCTCAGGTTATAATTTATTAAATGAATTGGGATCCTTTATAATGAAGGGTTCTACGTGCATGTAAAGAATTATTACTCATTTTTATCATTACTGTATATTAAAGCAGAATAAAAATGCTTTCTGGATTTGATGGAGGTTCCTGGTATCTTTTCAAGTTCGTAACATATGTAAATTCAAAGAAAACACAGTAGACACAGTGATCTTGTATAATACACTGATTTAAGCATCATTTCCTTCTGTTCTTTTCCTACTGTACACTGTGGAACATTTGATTTATCAGAAATGAATTGTGAGATAAACTGAACTCAAAATTGGATAATACAATTTTTATAGCATATCTGACTAGAAAGTGGAAATCTTATCAGAGAAAGCAGCATGATGGGGCAAGAGCAGCTATTTTGTGTAAATGTGTTATTTTACCCAGAACATTAAGACCAAAAAAAAAAGTCCATATTGCAGATGTCACTTACAATTCAATATTTTTCTTGTTTACCCAATCTTGTTTTGTCTTTGTTTTACAATAAAAAAGTGTGAGAGAATTTGAACAAGTTGTTATGCCCTGTTATGTACACGTACAACTAATATGAAACCAATTAAAGTAATGTACTAAAATTAAACAAAAACCTGATGAGTAATTCTAACGATTAGATACTGATAATCCCCATTCTAGCTATTTGTTAAATGTAAAGTTACTTTGTGTCTTGAATCTAAATTAATTTAACTTCATGTTTGTATACCACCTTGCCTTTTGTGGTCAGGAACAATCCCATGACGCAAAGGTAGAAGTGCTGACCATTACATTCTGGCCAGTTCTGATTAGGCAGCATCTATTTACCACTCATGAACTGCCTCTTGTTGTTTCAGTTGGATATGATATGCTTCACTTTTCTTTTTAAACTTATGTGATGTTCCTGTGTTAAACAGTGTTGAAGGACTGACACATCCTTCCCCAGAGATGGCTGAATTTCAGTGGTGGGTAATGTGAATAGTTGGTAATGTACTGTGAGGCATTCTTCAGGAAGAGAAGTTTTGTAAAACAGTAAGATATTACTATTTAAGGATGTATACGTGAAGGCTTCAGTAGGCTGAGTCCCTTTAACAATCAGAGAACCTTTGATTACAAGCACTGAACTTTCATAATCATGTGTTAAAAGCAGAGAGAGAAGTAAGATGGAACATTAATGCTAAATCGATACCACTTTCTCTTTGGATTTTGACAGTTGCTGATCTTCATTTTACATAAGAACTTTCACTGTTGGTGTTTGTCTCCATTTTATGGCCATTTAACTTACCTGAATGTTTCGTATGAAGGCTACTGTCACACGTTCTTCAAACTCATTAACAGGAGTATAGAGATTTAATATTTTTACAATCTGTTGGAAACAAAACAACAGGGTTTTAGATGGCCAGCAGTAGCTGAGCTTCTCAATGGCATGAAACGCTGCTACCCGGTTTCTTCATGTTGTCACTTTTGTAGAATTTTGCATCAGTCTCCATGTCGGAGACAGTTAAGGTGTGTAAATTGAGGAACTTCTTCATGTCACTAGAGAAGGTTGTGGACTAACCATCTTAACTTAGTGTAAATACTCAGAATCTCAAGAAAGCTGAACAGAACTGAACAAGAAAAACTTGTTCGTAGAAAATAGGAGATGAGTGTCTACAACATGCATCTTTGAACGTCATTAAACCACCTGTGCATGAATGACCTGAGTAATGGCGCAAGCATATTTCGATTTTCTTGTGCTCCCTTGTTCCCTTCCTGGTGCATGTTATGTCCTCAAATATCTGTCAAGTCCATCTTTTAGAACAGTACTTGTCAACTGGTGGGTCGCAACCTACAGGTGGGTTTGTGGTGGGGACACCTGCAAGGCTGCACCACATGGGGTGAGAAAAGCCCCATGGGCATTAGGATCCAGGAAGACTCTGGATAGACAACCTGCTGCCTCCTTCATGCTCCTGCTGCCACTCTGGCTGCACCCTTCCTGGTCTTAGCCTAATCTTGCTGCAGCTCCTCATCCACGGCCCTCAACCCCCTCCACCCACCCACCCAATCCACTCAGCTTCTGTGGAGGACAAGTGTTAATTCAAAAGGCTGCACAGATGGTGGTGCAGGGAGAATTATATCACCCAGCACCCCACACTACCCCTCACTTCCACCCTTTGTCAGATAAAAGGGGTGTACAATTGAATATTGAAGATTAAGGACCTGCTCCACTGAAGTCTACAGGAGTTTTGCCATTGATTTAAATGGAAGCCTGATCAGACCCAATGAGCAACTGGTACATTGAAGAAGCAGTTATCAACCTTTTGTCACCTCAAAATCTACTCATGAATTCTTGCTCTGAGCACAATTTTTTAGGATAGAGTGGGCCCTAATAAGCTGCTTGTGGATGCTGGGTCACAAAGACAGAGCTACTGATTTATACTTTAAGCTTCTCAGGGTAGGACCCTGGCTTTCATGGTCTCCTGATGCCCCTAGCAAAAACAGTGGCACTGTGAAACGTTCTATATAATATGATTCTAGCATTGTCACTCTGAACGTGTGAGTCAGTGTGAAGCAATGCAAACAGTTAAAAGCATGGTTGAGAACTCTTTGTTGCAGAATATTACCAGGCTAAATCATCACTGGGATTCAGTCTGTTACAGACTGATTTTTACGTTCTCAGTCATTTTGACTTAATTATTACACCCATGTGACAGCCAAGCACGCATCTATACCATGCCACGAGTCCTAGACCATTGTGATATCAGAGGTTACTCAGCTAATTGCCATCCTTATTCTATAGCTAGTTTGCATACAAGTGGTTGTATGAGGGAGTCCGCACAGATGATGGATTACTTGGCCCAATTGCCACACCTGTATGACAGCACAACCTTTCAGCTTCTAGGACTGAAAAACAATGACATCATCTGAAAGAGCTTTCAGTCCCTAAAAGAATATTCTGTATTGTAAAAGAATATTCCATGGTGTAGCATGCATCTTGACCTCTACATGCTGCAGTGAGAGAGACTGGCCTGTACGCTGAAGGGATGCTGTGGGAGATCTCACCTTTTCTCTCTTCCGTTTTGTAATGAGTGCCCCAGAGGCATAGATTTCTGCTTTACTCCTCTTTCTTTCCCTTCCCATTAAATACACTTCTTTGTGACGTTTGGTCCAAAAAAAACCTAAGAGCTTTTATTCTGGAGGCCTGGAGCACTCACTTGCAAATGGTTGGTTCATTATCTGCCAAAGGCAAAGCTGGAAGGCTGCCCACAGGCCAACAGTAAATCAATTTTGAGGCACCACTGCTACAGATTTGTAGAGGATTCTTGTTATTATGTGAGACATCCCCACTGGTCAGAATAGCAGGGTGGTTTTCTTACCGTTTTACAGAATACCTATTGCATTTAAAGGAAGTACCACTGACTGTTCAGCAGAACTGTTAGTTATGAGGACTGAACCACAAGTGTTTTCTCCCGTTGTAACTGCCTGGGTTGTGTATGTTCCTCAAGCAGGTGGGATGGGCCTAGCTAAAGCTGGAAGCAGAGGAGGTGGCATCACCATCCAGGGAAGTCACAGCTGGGCCCTAAAGCCACTACTAAAGGAGGAAGAGGAATTTGAAGTGGGGGCAGCTGACTAAGAGATGTGTGTGCATTACCCACAGCTCAGTCATCTGATCCTGATCCTACCCTGCACAGCAAATGTAGAGATTACCTGTCAGGAGAGTAAGAAAGCTTGGCAGCTAGTTTCTTGGCAGCAGTAGCAGCTGGGAGGGCAGGATGTGATCAGAAAATTACTCAAAAAGGGTATGTCCCACCCAGCATGTGACACTTGAGGAGTACCATGTTCTAAAGCAGTGGACCGGCACCAGTCCACTGACCACCACTTTGAGGAGCACTGTTCTAAAGCAATCCTTCCTGCTGTAATGCACAGGAAAGAACTCACACCTGTTTCACAGCAAACGTGTACTCCAGTCCCTTACCTGCTGCGTAGTGAGGGATGTGCATAAGGAACAGATAGCCTCAGCATCTTCTGAAGTTTTCTTTTTGAGCTGAAGCAGTTGTGCTGCCTGGATCAGGGGCTCCACTGTCTCTGCTGCTCCACTCTGTTGCAAATTCTTCCCACGCAACCATTCCTCCAGCTGGCTTATGTTATACCTGGCCCCACACAAGTAAGATGTCAGTTGAAAGTTTCCTTTTGAGGGCTCATTTACTAGTTCAAGAAACATTGCATTGCTGGAGCGAGTGGAGTTTTTGATACAGATGTGTGATACATACTGATCAAGTGGTCTTGAAAACCATTGCAAACTCCTGGACTCCACAAACACAGGAGAATATTCATAAAGTTACAGGCTAGACTGTATTTTGCAGGGTAGCGGTAGAAGGGCACAAGCAGCTAGATTTTCAAAGGTATTTAGGTGGCTGGTGTGATTTTGAAAAGTACCTAAAAGCAAGTTAGGCACCTAACTTCCATTGATCTCAGTGTGAGTTAGTTACTTAACCTGCTTAAGTGCTTTTGAAAATCCTAGTAAATGCCTAAATACCTTTGAAACTCTGACCCGAGGTGCCTCCCCCCACTCCCGTGCCTTGGCACAGTCCTAGTCTGTCTGATCTCAGCATGCAAGCGAAATATCATGAGGAGTTTGTTTTTAAATCATCATTAATGTTTATGACAAAAGGCAGTTGGATAGGTCTGTGCCATGGCAGGTAAATTTTCATTGCTATTTTGTACGGTTGCACTAAATACCTTCTGGAACTCCCATAATCACAGCAAATTAATACCTATTAAGATAGATACAAGGCACCTGGGCCCTGATTCTGTAATCAGATCCATGTGGACAGAGCCTTGTGCCTGCATGGAGCCCATCTGAAGTCAACAGGGATATATGCACAGGCTCACAGGTCTGTCTGCATGAACCTAATAGCCTCAGATATTACTATGGTGGGCACGTTAGAAATGTCTGTGATACTGCAGTACAGATAGGCACTGCAATGAGCATTTAAATCAGAAACACAAAGCGAACTATCTGTTGCAGTTATTAAGCAATTGGAATTCACTTTAAATTCTGCTCCTTCCTTCCTGCATTTATTCCTGGACTTTTGTGGTTTCTGATGCATCCTCTGTTTTATTTCACACAGCTTTCCTGGTCCCACAGAATTTCCTCCTTATTTCTGATAGAATATTTAGTCTGCTACCTTCCCCACTGTACAAAATTAACAAATTGCCTGTATATAAGCAGGTGCCTTCCCATCACTGTCTCAGCCAATGTCCTACCTGAGCTGCATACCAGTGCTCCACGAACAGACATCTTTTCTCAGCAGGAGGTTGTTCAGCGTTACTGCATTGATCATGTAGAAGAGCTGCTTGAAGACTTGCTGAATAATCTCCGGGTCCAGGCCCTGGTCACACAGGATGCTATGAAACGTATTCATTTGGCGAATGACTGCGTCTAAGCTGTAAGAGTTGTCACCATCTACCATGCTGGATGATCGGTTCCTGTAGCCCATTGGCTTCACGCCTGACAGACCCTGGATGCTCTCACTTTCCAACATTGCAGACACTGGGGGGAATATTTCAGAAAGGAATGGGGACAAGGTCTACATTTCCCTATAAATCACCAGGAGTGATTTGTTAGCTTACCTGTAATCTGTGGTTTATTTTATGTAGTTGCTAATGTGCTACATTCTACAAAACAAAGAAAATACTATGTCCTAACGATAGAAGGAAACGACTGGGATCCAGGAATTGTTAGTTTCTAATCCCAGCTTTGCTACATATTCTTTCTGTGGCTTGGGGAGAGTCACTAACCTTCCTGGCATCTGTAAATGGGGATAACTTTAAGTTACTGTATTTACCTTGGTGGTGTACTTCAGTTGGGAAGATTAATTAGTTAATAGCTATAAAGTAATTTGAAGGTAAAAAGTCCTATGTATTAATGTTAAGGAGAAGAACTCACTTAACATACTGTGAAAATTACAAATACCTCTGCACAGAGCTATCAAACTCTCCTTATAGTCCCAACCTGTAGCCTTAATCAAGTCTACATTTAAAGTGATTAAGTGGTTGAGAAAGAAGATTAAAAGAAATAAATCTGTATCCATTGGCTAAGTAATGATTAATGGAGGGATATGACAAGTCTCTCCAAGGAGCAAAAGGCTGCACATGTGGAGATGGTATAGCACAGTACAAGCATGTATAGGTAAGAGGGGTATGGTAACAGTTTTAAAAGAATGTAGTGTAAACTAACAGTCTCCCAAGGGAAGTGGTGGAAACCTTATAGCTAGAGAATATATATTGTTGAAGGAAGCACTCCTTCGCTGGCAGGAAGATGGACAAAGTGATAAAGGTATTTTCTCTCTCATTATTCTAATGCACCCTTGTAATGCAGAATAGTGGTTTTGTTTGTTTGTTTTTGCAGACTTCCCTTCTCTCATGAGATATTTGGTTGTACAGTTGCATGCAAACTTCATATCCATGTCAGTGCTTGGAATGGAGGACTGGGATTAGAAACAATGTCATAGCTCCACTTCTTGGCACTACCAGCTCCCCCAAAGGAGGAGGAAGATAGACTATTCCATCACTGGGAAAAATCCCATTGACTTTCCCGTCACTTCAAGCACTGTCTCATACATGAACTTTATAAATAAAGCCACCAACCATAGTGGCCTTCTCCAGAGCACATTTCTTAAACTGTTAACTGTTTTATGCCACCACATGCTTTCGTTTGGATGGGGAGAAGTGTTGCTAACACAGAGCAAAGGTCTCATATACACCTTCACATAATATATATACCCCAAACATACCTATCATTGGTTGCAACATGCCTTCTGCTATCTTAAAGAGCTGCTGATAGATCTGAATGGAGAGGTCACTTAAAACCTGCCGGTACTCCGTGAGGTCAAAGTTCTTAAGACAGTGTTCATTCTGCTTAGCAGTATTTTGTGTCATAAAACCCTAAAACAAAATAAAAAAAAGAGAGACCAAACCCCCTTGTTCTGTTATTCCGCCTAATAACAGTCCACTGACATCACTGCATAAAGGCCTGTAAAAGTAAATGAAAGTGTAATGTTTCTAGAATGCTACCTACTGTAGATTTTGGTCTTAACAGTTGAAGAAAAGATCAAGACTCATAAATCACCTATGATTATTCAACAGCTTATTCATAAATTATTAGAATTTTTTAAAATGAAATATCATTAAGTAATCAGCTTAATTTTAATTTCAGCAAGGAGAAAGGAATTCCAATTAAAAGATAAAGCATGTTTCCCACTGAATTGACTGTTTCAGTTCCCTATTAAACACTAGGCTACCCATTTGTTATATCATGAGCGTATACTCATTCAGAGCCACCAGGAGCCACATATTTTAATCTTAAGGTTAAAACTTCTTTGTAAGAATGGAAATATTTGCATGATAATAAAATATTTTGACCTCTTGGTTAACTTATGAGTTATACGCTAAAAAACCTGATTTTTTGCAGGGGTCTCACAAATTTTTCAGCTCTTGTTTCCCTGAATTTCCAGCTAAGGCTTTGATCCTACAACTGGATTCTGTAGCATGGAGCCTTGTACTACTGCAGCATCAGTGGGGCATCTGCATAGGCCCAGGAGATCATCCTAGCAGATATAATGGCAACATGGCCGAAGTTTGAAATTAGCATGGTTTCTCTCCTTTTAATGCTCGTTTGTTACAGTACTCTTGCCAAGCTAGTGTTACAGTTTTGGGAACAGGGATTCTTGTTAAATGCAGTACTGCTACAGAGACAGCAGAGGGCATACAGAAGAACAAACCACTGTTACTGACCAAGCCTTACTCATACAATTCCTTTCATACTGTATACAAATGATTGGCTACACAGTGTCCCCCCACATTAGAATCTACAAAATCCTGACAGATAATTTGATTCCAAGGAAACGTTGGGCCTATACCAATATTCTTGCCTGTATCCTTTGAAGCGTGATGGCTGGCTAGGTTTAACACAAATCGAGAGTGAATTAGAAGGAAACTACACACGCATCTCTATATTCCAAATTTTGGTACCATAGTATATGGCTGTACATACAGTAGTATAAACAGCCCAGTGGACAGGTACCATATAAAGATTTTTTATATTACTAGAACTGCGATAATCTGATTTGGCCACAGATTATCAAAACTGATCGACACTAAACTGAACAGGTGTGAAAACTGTGAAACTGTATCAAGAAGACTGGTATAAGAGATTACCTCCTCTCTGAAGGAACTATGTTCTGATTCGTAGTTTTTGATCTCATGCACCTCAGAAGTTCAGAACTAATTGAGCACAACTTAAGAAAAAGCGATAACTTTTAGAAAAAAGATTTAAACCCATTTTTTCTGTTTAAAAATAATCGTAATGAAGGGCCCGATCCTGCAAACTGACTGCATTGAAATCAAAGGGAGGGTTCTCAGTATTGGACCCAAGAGAAAACTTTTTCCATCAAAGAACAGGAGCGGCATCCTAATTGTGAGTTTGACCTTTGAACATTGCTAGAACTAGAGGGGAAAGTTTTATACTAAGTTTTAAAACTAAGGGTCTGATATTCCTGCCACGTTTTACACCAGTATTCCTCTATGAACTTCATAGGGGACACTCCTGAGTGACACCAGAGTCAGTGAGCAGAGACTCGGGCCCTTGTAAGAGTCTCTCAAAGCTTTTTACCATTTCAGCAAGATTACTGATAGTTCAACATCCTAGTTTGACCCCAGGTATGGGGTGCCTGGAGATGAGCACTTAAGTGGAATGAACAAGAGATTTCAAAACTGGGTGAATGTTTTTCTGAAGCTCTGTTCTTTACATAAATGTCTCACCGTATCCCCGCTGTACTGCTTTAGACAATGTAAGAGGCGACAGGTGTTAGCCAACCAAAATGATGTCATCTGAAAGTCATCATTGTGTTTCTGTGAAGAGCAAAATTAACACGTGAGATTCCTCTTTGGCATATGAAGCTGGTCTATTTCAACAAAGTGGTTGTCCGAAAAGCAGAACACCACATGCAATGAACGACATGCTATTTTCATTCCTGCATGAGAATTCTGTTCCCTTCTGTTACCATGGCTGCTACTAAATTCTGCTCTTAATTACAACAGTGTAACTCCGGAGTAATTCCCTTTGAATCTCTGAAGTTGCTCTGAATTTGCAACAGTGCAGCACAAAGCAGAACATGGCCCATATAGTCATATTAGCTAATCAAATTGCATGCTTCAAGGCATAAACAAATCACCTGGATTAGGAAGGATTCTTCACCAACACGTATGACACTTTTCATTTGCTTAGATGCATCATATTAGTTTGCTTTGCCATTCTCTGAAGCATGAGATATAGGCCACTGACAGAAACAGGACACTGGATTTGATGGTCTACTAACTATTGGAGACATCAAGAGATGTGGCACTGTGCATAAGTTTAACCAGTACCACTACGGTATTATATCGGACGTGCCCTAAGGCCTCACTCTGAGTGCGAGCCTTCTGTTTAACAAAGAGCTTTCTTAACTTACAAAGGAAGCTGAAAGGCACCACTGTGTGGCCTAGTGCATTGAACACGTGCACAGTCACCAGTAATTTTGAATTCCAATCCTACTTTGACAATCACTCACGCATTGGCATCAGGCAAGTCACAACCTTCCTGTGCCTCCGTTTTCCCATGTATAAAATGGATCTAAAATCACCTCCCTTACGAGGCAGGCGAAATAGCAATTAATGTTAGTACAGCAATTTGGAAATGAAGAGCACAACGGAAGTACTGAGTATAATTAATAATTCTATTTTAATTGCATCCGATGAAGTGAGCTGTAGCTCACGAAAGCTCATGCTCAAATAAATTGGTTAGTCTCTAAGGTGCCACAAGTACTCCTTTTCTTTTTGCGAATTCTATTTTGGTAGTTCTTTACTGTACTGCGGCTACACCCTGGAAGATTCTTTGGCTAAGAACTGAATGTTAATTAGGATGAGATGGCCCTGCTTGTGCTGGACCTTTAATGATTCATCCCACTGCAGAAATTTCATTCTTTGTCTTTGCTTGAAATGAAGCATCGCCTAGCTGAAAGAGATTGGGATAAACGGTTATAAATCAGAGTCTATTTTGGTCTGGAGTGTGGTGGACATTAAAGCTATATGTGACCAGCACATTAGGTTATAACACAGGTACATAAAAGAGCCAGCCTCTCCTGTTCTCAATTCAGGCGATTTAAGAAGCAAAAGCCAGAAGGGAAGTAAAACAATGAGTTAGCAGGTCAGGAAGCTAAAAAGAAGCTTAGTAGCAGAATTAGTTGTGTTCTATGGATGGTTCACTCACTGAGCATCTCTCCTATCTATAGAAAAGTAATCTGCATCCAACTCTTTGATGATTTTTAAAACCCACATGTACTGGGACAATTTTTTTTATCTATATTTAGTTGATTTTTAAAGAAAATCCCAGAGTAAAACAAACAGCAAAAATCGATGATAATATCATCATGTCAATATTATACTCAGGGCATGAGTTTGTTGAATATTTGCATGATTCCCATCTGAATCTGAAAAAGAGAGACATCTTTAGGTACCTACTTCAACCTCAGAACTAGAGTGTTACATCACATGCAGCCTTAGAGCTCATTTTATTACAAAGACATCATACCTTTAATACTTTCTTAATGCCGTTAATGGTGGAGGTGAGTAAGGAGTGCACTTTCTGGTCATCATTGATGTAATCTGCATGCCTGATGCACATGTAGAGGATGTAAGCAGGAAGACATGGAACTGTGGCAGAAACTGTCTGTGGTTTGAGATCTAGAAGTGGAACAAAAAAAAAAAAGGGAGTCTTTTACAACCTAACTTTTGCAAAAAGAAAAGGAGTACTTGTGGCACCTTAGAGACTAACCAATTTATTTGAGCATAAGCTTTCGTGAGCTACAGCTCACTTCATCGGATGCATACCGTGGAAAGATCTTCTACACTTCCGATGAAGTGAGCTGTAGCTCACGAAAGCTCATGCTCAAATAAATTGGTTAGTCTCTAAGGTGCCACAAGTCCTCTTTTTCTTTTTGCGAATACAGACTAACACGGCTGTTACTCTGAAATCTAACTTTTGTTAGCTGAGCAGGAGAATCAGAAACAGTAAAGATGTGTGCAAACCACCATCCCACACATCTGGGAAAGATCAGTTCTGAACGTTGCAACTTAAGCTCATCTCTGAGAAATTCCTGAACTTCTTGGAAATGCTTCATACAAGCTGCCGCGCTATCGTGTACAGAAACAACTGCAGAAATACTATGTACAAAATCTACTCTTCATCAACATGCTGAATCAACATAGCACATGGTGGAATTTACTAAATATTTCATGTGAAAGCAGGGATTGCCCGAAGAGGAGGAACTCTAAAAGTAACTGCTGTGATCTGGTACCATTCTTTGTTTGCTTTTTGTAGAGTTTCATTACGCTCGGGCGCGATAACAGAAATCATAAAACACTGATGCATAGTGAGGCAAGTGTGACAAAAACCTGAGTATTGGATGGTGGTGCACGTGCCAGCAGTGGCTCCAACCAAAGCCTTCAGTCTAATTAGCGCTCAAGAAGGTGCACATTGCAGAGACCTCAGAATGGATAACATGACAAAATGTTTCTGTTCCCCAGGCCTACAAGAAGCTGAAGGTCTGTATTGTAATATCCCTTTTCCATGTGTCAACGCATCATGGTGTAACAATTATTGCCCCCTTTAGGAATTACAGCTTCATTTTAGCATTTTCAATGCCTTGTCATCCTTGAGTAAGAATTATATCTAACAACAACAAAAGAATGAGACAAATTGGATGTGAATTTATCACTGACGTAACTCCATTGGAGTCAATGAGTTTCCTATGAAGGCATGAATTCTGTCCATAGCATTTTAGAATGCTAAGTAAACAGCACTGAATTTAAAGCACACTCCTAAGTGGGAAGAGAAAACAGGGATGGCTGCTTATATGAGACAGTTGGATAAAGGAGGTTCTTGATCTGATCAAAGCACTCATTACTTTTGTTTTTCATTCTCTCTTTCAGGGCTCAATGTTGCAACGTTCTGAATACCTCATGCAGGGTACTCTGGACACTCACAGTTATAAGCAAACACATATTGTGCTGGGCTTCAAAATTAGTTCAAAATTTCTGGGCCAGGGGAATCTCAAGTCATGTGTCACAGATGCTGGTTACTATTTGTTGGAAGACTATCAGAAGTGTGGCTAATTACTAGTCCCTTGGGGGTTTGCTGGGCAGTTTGAAGGGATTATCCCCAACACTGAAATCAACCTGATTTAAAAACAAAAACAAGAACACCCTCCAAAACCCATTGTTCTTATAAAATTCTTGAAACCGTTTGAGAGATTTCCCCTGGCACTGCCCGTGCAGCCCATTCTCAAATATAATGGAACTCTTCACAAGTGAGGAGCAGGATTTATGTGCTGTCAAACCCATTTCTAATATGCTACTATTTACATGGTACCAAAAGTGTGCTAGATGTGTGAAGATATGGGGCACAGCACTGAAGAGGTTCAAACTGGGGCTACCAACTCCAGGACACCAAATTTACTTCACTGATTTGGAGGGGAAAAAAGTCCTCTCTTCTGGAACAATCACTTTTCCTTGAGTCTTTATTATCCTCCAATTTCTGGATTCATAAAATGAAAGTCACAGGTGCCCTTTACAAATTATATTGAGAAACTTCAAATTTGTAAATTCAAAAAGTGGGAGGAACCTCCATCCTTATCCTTAGCTATACCCCTCCCTCCATCTGCTTACAAGGAACCATGCAAACAGTTTTATGAACAGTTAATATAGAATATAAACCCAAGCAAGGACTCAAGGTTGGTTTATTCACTGCTTAACCTGTCCTATATCTGTGCACGTCAGAAATAACTGTGCTTATTTACCCTAACAAAATACTAAATGAATGAAACATTCCAGCACTTGCTTTCCAGGAATGACTGGAGAATCAGGTATAGGACCCCATTGCTATTAACCTGAAAACAAATTTTTAAGTCTAAAAAAAGTTATCAGTAAAACACGTTCCATTCTTTTCTTTGCAGTTATGGACTTCAGACAATTTAATCTAAGGGAAAAAATGAAAGCTAGCTGAGAATTTATGCCCTATTCAATAAAGCACTTAAACACATGCTTAACTTTAAACATGAGTTTAAATCCACTCTTATTCTGCAAAGCACTTAAGCACATTTTTAAATAGTTTGCTGAATCAAGGTCTTAGTTAGGTAGCTGAGTACCCACATGCCTTTAATATGCTCAATTTAGAGAGGTTTTACAAATATCGAACTATGTTAAACCTTGAAATAAAGCAAACTCATTTGAATGGTTAAATACACACACACATATATAAATCCTGGAGTGATACAAGAATAAATTGGGTTAGTATTTCATATTTTAATGGTTTAGAAGGAAACGGAAGAGGGAAATGGAAAGAGAGGCAAATAAGGTCCTAACCTGTAATGAGGTTTCGGATGAGAAGTGGCTCATCTTCCTTGTAATATTCCAACATTCCCTGGAAATCTTTTTCCTTCCGTTGGACAGTGGCCTGCCTGGTAAGCTCGTGACGCCTCCTCTCTGTGTGTGCTGTAGCTTGGGTCGCTGTGACGAGAAAGAGACAACTTTGAAGACAGCTGAATGAATCACCGAGCGCAGTACTTCAATGATAACTATGCATTACAGGTCTGATCCAAAGTCTGTTGAAGTCCTTTGTGTCTTTCCTTTAACTTTAATGGGCTTTGGATCACCCCTGTGTGAATGTGTGATATGAGTCTGTTATAATATTAGCAGCTTTAGATAGACAGATAAAGGACCAGAAACATAACTTGAACTCCTCATTTGGGCAGAACTCTCACTGACAAAGTAAAGGGTGCAAGATAAGGCCTAAAAAACTACAAACATTAGTTCCTTTAATAAATGTAAGATTCACTGGACAAATATTCAGAAGATGGTGACCTTACTGGATCTTATGAACGTATTACTAACACTAACAAAAGCCAGGCTTTGGGAAAATATGCATAAGCAACATATTCTGTGGCAGAATGCACAGCAAAATTGAAAATTACCGTTTTACGCTGTCGAGTATTGTACCTACATACAATTTTAATCAAATGGAAAATTATGAAGGCTTAATGCAAGTAATGGTAAATGTCAGTCGGATGCATCACAGTAAATTACAGTGACAAAAGCAATCTGCACCATCTGTGCTACTGTGAAATTCCCTGTTTATTCAGCTTAATTTCACTTAATGTCTAGTTCTCTGAAATCAGTTCATAAAATCAGAGCACTGTAGTTTATCACTGTATCCAGTGAGGAAGATAAATAGTTTCTATGCCATATAGATAGCTTGTCCCCATATTATTTTCTCATCAAGGATGAAGCGTTTTTCAACAACCTTTCTAAATATCTTTAATATCCCTTTATCAGTCACAGAACAGAATTACTTAAGAGTAGGTGGCGTTTCCTTCTAAAACAGTATGTGGGCCACAATATACACTGCATTAAAAGAACAAGGGCCACTTAGAGTCATTAAAAGGACCGTTTCAAAACCCACAGCATGTACCAAATGTCAGACAGATGCTTTCTAGTAAGAGCTGAACATCCATTCTCGCCTCAATTCTTTGGGTGATTTATCAATTTTAAGATGATCCACATCAACAAATTAAGGGAGGTGGCAAGATCCAGGATCTTTGGAAGAGATTTACCATACAGGGACTGACAACATCCACTGAAGATAACTGAAAGATCTCAACAGAATTTGAGCAATAACTTCCCAGTTATCTCCACCCTTTGGTTTAGGACCATACATTGAGGATGGATGAGGTAACGGAAGTTTTTTTTTTTTTTATCATAACCGTAACGGAGACTAAGGTTCAAGAGTGCCCTAAGCATGACTTGGGATGGGGTGGGGTAGGTTAAAAATTTGGGACCCATTCTGTTCTTTCACACCAGTTCAGATCTCACTCCATTGAACTCAATGAGTTCACCCATATGGTAAGGTGGAGTGACACAGAATTTGGCTATTGGAGCTGAAGCAGAAGTTCTTGTGCACATCCATTTGGAGAGCAAAGCATACATTCACCTGTGTCCAGTTGTTCCACTATAGAAGACTGCTGGGCTCCTCCCCTTCCCAAACAGGGTATTGCACCAAAATAGAATATAGAAGAATTACAATTGGAGAGGTCACAGAGACTCACTGGTCAACAGAGAGCTTTGTGGCAGCTGCAGAACAGAGCCTCTGTTTGTTATGCCTATTATAGGCACGCCAAGAGAAGTTTGACTCCTTCTCCCTCTTGCTCTGAAGCCATGAAGAATGAAGAAAGTGAAATGAGAGTCATGCACATTGTTTCCATAGGAGAGAACTGACCAGCATGTATTGGAAGTGGGAGAAAAAGCTTCTGAGAATGACACGTGCAGTGATCCTTAGGGTGTCTATGGGACACCTGCATGTTTCTCTCTGGTGTTGGAGGTGGAGACATAAAGCCAGAGAATAAAACCCAGAGACCTAGACTGAGCCTAGAGTAACAGAATTCCATTTCCCCGAGAAGGTAACAAAACCAGAATTACCTTCAAAATCCTGGACCTTCTTCATGTAAATCTTTAGCTGTTTCTTCAGCTTCTTCTCATTCTTTTCTAGTTTCTCTAGTAACTCTTTGAGATCCTGAAAATTAGGAAAAAGGATATTTAAAAAATTGCCCCACTGGCTGATCAGGACCCAGCCCTCTTGGATACAAAGACACTGAGAAGTACATATATGCTGTACTGAAGTGTGTTAAAAGGTGTGTGCAAATGCAGCACTCTGCAAAGCTTCCCGGAGGATAGTGGTTTACTTCTCTCCATTGATAGATATTTGTACTATGATCTGGATCCCTGAAAATGTGCAGCACTTCAGGGTCAATTTCTGCAGCACAGATAAGAAAACATCGGCCTTTCAGACTTGTCACGTCCACTGCCATCTGCCGAATTCCTGTGGCCAGGAATCACCCAGTCACCAGGGAGCTTGGAAGGACAGGGTCAGAATGGCAGCTGTACACCGCTCCCTGCGGAAAGCTTTTTTATTCGGAAGTACTGAAAGGTTTAAAAAATTAGCCTATCTACATACATCCAGTGTTTAAAAAAACCCACACACATTGATTTGTCTTTGCAGAGGCCATTTCAGTCAGTGTCAAACCAATCAGTCACGTAACTTGAGCTCCTCCTTTTCACAGAAAAGTAGAGAAAGCATGCTGTCAAGTTTCTCCTGTACGCGGTGAGAGAGAGGGAGAAAATGGCAGCTTTCAAATGGTTTCCCACATGATGTTATTTTAAAGAACAGGTCTTTCTTCTTTCCCCAGCAGTGATCTTCTGATCCAGAATTTATGGTGCTAGGGCCTGATGCTGTGAATTTCTGAGTTCCCTCAATTCCCAATGAATCTCATAGGACTGAGACTGCTCAGCACCTTGCATGTTCAGGCCCGCAATGACTGCTTTTTCAAATGTCTTTTTAAATAATAGTGCCATGGTATTTAAAGCACGACTCTGCTCCAAATAGTGACTCCATAAAAACTACAGGAGGGAGTCCTATGTTCATTGCCTTTCAGTGACTCCCATAAAAAACCTACTCAGTTTACAAGTAGACAGATTTTTTTTCCCCCAAGGCCTGGGCTACGTGCATTTTTTGTGCTGGTTTAATTATCTCACGGTGTATGCAATTATTTTGGTTAAAAAAAAGTCATAATGGTACAATCCCTAGTCTGGATGCAGTTTTATATCAATAGAAAGATGCTTTACAGCTGATTCTCCTTCCCATACAAGATTAACTACAATGACATGTGGCACCTTTATACCGATATAATTGCATCCACACTAGTGAGGCGGTACAGTTTCAGGTATACCAGTATAGTTAGAGCAGCACATCTTGTGTGTGTAGACATGCTCTAATTGACAGGCCTGCGAACTCACCCTAGGACCTGAGAATCCCACCTCATTTACCATTGCCAGAATCAAAGGTTTGCAGGCCAAATTAGGCTTTCAGTTATATATGTGCTGCCTCTCACGCATGTAACAGGTCAGAATTTCACCCTGCTACTGGAACTTTATCATCATTTGTTTTTTTGATGATTGGTGAGCGAGGCAAGAATCCAGTTCCCTCTCCTACCGTCGTGCTGACACTGGTGGTAGCAGGAGTAAACCGCAGTAAGACTTCTATTTGTCCCTGAAATCAGCATATGTGATTGTGAACACCCAAAGGGCACAGCAGTATTGAGTAAAGAGTTGCTGAGTCACACTTCAGAGTAGATCTGCACTTCAAGGGCTTTTTGGAGAAGAAACTCTTCTACATCTGACTCTTCTTCCTAACCCCCACATAGGGCAAGTCAACACTACAAAATGAAGTCAACCTAAGTTATGTTGACGTACAGCCACTGCAGAAATGACATTGCTTTTTCATGTCCACACTATGCTCCTCGTGTCGGCGGTACACGTGCTCCCCAGGAGCACTTGCACTGATTTAATGGTCAGGGTGGGGAATTGTGGGATGGCTTCTGAAAGGCAGCAACAGTCGATGTCAGCAATGCAGTGCCTACATTGACACTGTATCGACCGAGCTACATCAACCTAAGAGCTTCACCTCTCACAGTGGTGGAGTTAAGTTGGCGTAGCGGGCGAGTTACATTGTCAGGAGTGACATTTTAGTACAGACACTTACAGAGCTAAGTCCATGAAAGCTGCCTTATGTCAAGCTAAGTCTGTAGTGAAGAATAGGCCTTGGGCTTTGTTATTCTGTATCCTATATCCCCATACTACCTGTCATCCCCACTCTTTGATGGCTATCTAAACAGTTAATCAGCCACTAAATGACTGATAGGCTCATGGTGCTGGGTTAGGATGGGCTGTTTTGTTTTCAAGGGATAAGCATAAATGCTGTACATTAATCGTTTGGCTGGATCCTGCTCCCATTCAATATAATGGCAAAAGTGCCATTGACTTCAACGGGATAGGATAAGGGCTAAGCTTTTCTCCTTTATCTCTTTTTTGCTGCCACAGTCATTGCAGGCAACAGATGCACCTCTGCCAAGGGATTAAAGTTGAACACGTTGCACAGCGAGCAAGAGATTTTTGTTTTGCTGCATGACATACTTTTCCTAACACGGAGAACTAAGAATGATAAAGAATGTGTTAACAGTTGCCCCCAAAATTGGTCTCATGGGGTCTCCCCTCTGAATGACTGTTTAACATCAGCAGAAGAGGAAATCATTCTTCCATCTGTCTACATGTTCACATAAATAAGCCCACGTCTCCTGATCCTGACTCCTCCTGGAAGTATTATACAGTAGGTAATGATTTATAGTTTATCACCTCAGGGCTTTATTTCCTGGCTGCCATTCATATGTAAATGGTTCAGACATGTCTGTTTGAACGTGATAAAGTTCTCTAAAGAGACGATCCTGAGTGAGGCAGCAGCATCTACCTACCCACCCACCCAGGCTCAGGAAATGCCAATTCTTATAAATAAGGCTATGATTTTGGCACATACATTTTTAGTAAATTTCACAGCACAGGTGTGCAAAAACATGAAAAGTCACGGAAAGGTCACCGAATAATGTCGGTTTTGCCACATCACCATACAGAAGACTATTGGGGCTGCTGAAAGTGAGGCACTGTGGGGAAGAGAAGATTTGGCAAGCAAGCCCACCCTGCAGCAGCAGGTCCTCTCCCATGGGACGGGACCTGACTCCCTGCTCTGGGTGTTGCAACCTGGCACATGGAGATGCAGTGCCTCTCAGGTATGGCCCATCCATAAATGGAGATGGCAGGGCGGATGGGCCAAACCCGAATGGTGCTGTGACCCAGTGCACCAGGTCACCATGCCACTCAGTTTGGAGGCTAATCAAATGTGTTTTTACAGCACTTCCAAGATGTCACAGACTTTATTCAAATTCATGATTTCTGTGACAAAACCGTAGCCCTACTTATAAATAACATTAATAGATTCAGAGGTTTAAGGTCAGAATGGACAACTATGATCATCTAGTCTGATTTCCTGCAGAAGACAGACCATAACATTTCAACCATTATTCCTGCTAGTGGAGGGAGTTATTCTTCCCTGACTATGTATATTAAAGTGCACAGGGCCAGACTGTGGCCTTAAGCCATTTTGCTTATGTCCAGAGAATGGCAAAATGTCACTGGGTACAACACAAAATATGACCTTTTACACCATGCAGCACGACTTCTCCTACTCACCATCCAACCCTTATAAAACAGCGTTTCAGTGCTCTACAGCAATAGCCCACTGTGTTGTTGGAACACCACTGGGAGTGATTGGGATCACTAGTGCATCTAGCTTACGGGAAGGCAGCTCCGCTGGCTAGTTGTGTGTTCATATACAAGGGTGTGTGCGATGGGAGTTCTTCCCATCTTACCTCTATCAACCACTGATTTGTTTTTACAGTATAGGTCATGAAGGACAGTCATTTTACATGGTCTCTTACCAGATTTTCATTTGACAGACGTGTGATTTCTTGCTGGATGCCAAATTCCACCTGGGCTTCTGGTGGTAGCTGTAGGGTCTGGAAAAACACCTGCTGCTGTTTTTCCATCTCGTCTCTCAGGGTTTCCACCTGGGTTTTCAGAGTTTCCACCTCCTCTTCGTGCTCTCTCCTCTGATCCTGAAGCTGGGCTTCCAGGAGCCTGATAAGAGGAGGAGTGAAGGGACCATTATGATAATCTATTCTGATCTTCTGTATTAACCAACCAAAGTACCCCAGTAACTTCTGCAACAAGCCGATGACTTCTGTTTGAGCTCTAGCATATCTTTCAGAAAGACACCCAGGCGTGGTTTAGATTCAAGTGATGGGAAAATGCTACGAAGATCCGTGTAGTTTTGTGGGGAGGGAGACAGTTTGGTGCTAAGACCCTGGTCCACCACTCACTGAAGTTAACTGAAGGACTCCCATTCACTTCAGTGGGCACTGGATCAAGCTCTCGTGTATTACATCCAAGTTATACTTCTCCTACAAAGCAACGGTAAGGTGTTTGGTTACTGTAGTGTACATCTTTTGCTGAGAAATCCAAAAATCTAAAATACTTTTAAACAACAAGATAAAAAACAGCCAAATATGAATTAGTTAAGACTTAAGCCCAGATTTAAACAATCACCAGTGATTTCAGGTGTTTCCATTTTTGGATGCCCAGTCTGAAACATCTTAAAGCAGCCTGATTTTCAGACAGTGGATGCGAAGCAATTTCAGGAAACCAGGCCCCTTTCAGTTGGCTTCAGCTTTGCACCCAAACACTGAGATGCCCCAAACCACTAGTCACTTCTGAAAATGTAGGCTCAGCTTTGCAGTGGAAAATGTCACACTGACTCAGACACGGAAGAAAGACTGCAAGAAGTATGCATTTTCCATTTTAAAAAAATTCTTTTCCAAGTCATTTTGAAGAATAACAAGTTAAATAAACCCCTTAGAAAGTGCATCAAAGGAAAACTGAAACTCTGGTGGCGGCGGGGGGCAGGGGGGTGTCTTTAATCACAAAAGGAGAAGAATTCCATGTGGACGAACAGCATGTCGTTCTGTGCAGCGATAAATTAAAGCACAAGCTGTACTTTCAGTAAAATGGACCGTATGAGCCATTTTTGTGCCTTTCTCTTTCCTTTTCCTCCCACATACCTTCTTCATCCAAAGGAAGAACTATTCATCACATAAAGGTTACTGCCCTCCTGAATGCTGGGTGTACTGATAAACAATGTTTAGCAAGTTAATTTATTTTTAAGGGTACCAATTATAGTGTACCAAATGGAAATCTCTCCCTTAGTGCTTTTAAGTATTCCAATAGGATCTAAACAAGATTACAAATGCTAGCAAAGTGGTTCCAGCAAGATTGAATGGTTTGAACAAGGGACTGAAAGTTACGAAGTCTGAAGCCTTAGCTCTGTCTCTGCCACTGATTTCCTGTGTGGTCTTAATCAAGGTACTTAATCATAGAATCGTAGAATATCAGGGTTGGAAGGGACCTTAGGAGGTCATCCAGTCCAACCCCCTGCTCAAAGCAGGACCAATCCTCAACTGAATCATCCCAGCCAGGGCTTTGTCAAGCCTGACCTTAAAAACTTTAAGGAAGGAGATTCCACCACCTCCCAAGGTAACGCATTCCAGTGTTTCACCACCCTGCCAGTGAAAAAGAGCATGCATGACTTCTGGCACCTGAATCATCCCACTAAAGTCAAGAGAACTATGCTTGTGCTTAAATGTAGGCACATGCTTATGTATCTTGCTGAATCAGGGCCTTAATTAGGGCAGGTCAAAAAGGTTTTCTATCTAAATTGTGCTTCAACAGAACACAGTTTTCAACAAGCCAAAGTTGTGTGTGTGCAAAGTGTCTGCTTTCCATGGAAAACGTTGTCTTTTTGATTTTCAGCTGAAAACTTTTCAGTTGTTCTGTTCAGTGGAGTCCAACATCCTCCCCATTTTCTGCATTTGTACATACACCCACCCACCCACTCACTCACTCAATATCTGTCAGATGGAGATAATAATGGACATGACCTTGCTGACATATTGTCAGGAGTTAATATTGTGTTGGGCCTTCCACTATGCTAAAAAGTACAAGTTTTTTTCATGATGCAGCTTCATATGGGATCAAGTTGAACCTGAACCAAACACATAGACAAATATGGTCCTCTTGTATTTGCAGTTCTGAGGAAAGTAGGCAGCCAATCAGCCCAGTCATACATTTCATATTATTCTCAGAAGAGCTGCTGCCCTCCCTCTGGTTGCTCTAAAATTGACACTACATTTTAATAAATATTACGACTACTTTCCCCCTGATAGTGCTTTTCATCAGATGATCGCACTTTACAAACACTGATGGAGAGGCTCACAACACCTCTCTGTGAGGCAGATAAGTATTATCATCCTTGTATTACAGAAGGATAAAGTGAGATGGTAGAAAGATTAACATGTAATGATCAGACATTCTGAGAACTGTAAATAGTATCAGAATTGGGAATAGGCTACTGGGAACTGGGACTCCTGGATTCTACTTTAACCATTATTCATCCTCCCAAAAGGTGATTAGTTTGGAGAAGTTATTACAGAAGCACTGTGCTTGCACAGGGGAACATTGAAATTGCAGGAATCACCTGCAATGTGTCCCTCTGATATATTCATCCACAAAATAGGAGTGCATTGGAGTGTCAGAGGTAATCTGCAAGCAGTAATAATTCTCCTCCTGACACACTTCTAGACATTGGATTGGGTGGAAAAGGAGTAATTCAGGTGAATTTGAGCATGCAAAGAGGACAAAGAAAACAGTACATTTAAAAGGGACTCAGCATCCTTTCTTACACGTTCATGAACAGATAAGAGAACAGAAGACTTTAATACACTTTACAAAAGGAGAAGTTCAGTCAGAGCTAAAGGGACTATAATTAGACACTTGGGGCGAAACCCTGACTCCACTTAACTCAGTGGGAGTTATGCCATTGACTTCAACGGAGCCAGGAGTTGGTTCATGAAATACCGTTGTTCCTCCACACCACATATAAATATCTCTAAAACACATAAGGCTGAATCCAAAAGGGTGCAGCACCCACAAACTGGGTAAGGTTTCCCAGCACCTCTGGGGACCATAGATACAGTTTTGGTGTGGTACACAATGATACGTTCGTGCAGCAATGTTGCAGAACTACATCCCAACCCAAACTTTAGTTGGTTGCTGCATTCCTAGAGATGGGCGTCAGTGCCAAGGTTTGGCTCAGGACCACAATTTCCCAAAACCTTAGAAAGGTTCCATCTCCCCCTCAAAGTTATGGTGGCTCAGCTTGGGTTAGCCCCATCTCCAATTCCTATTGTAAAGGACAGTGAGGCAGAGAGAGTACATGTGAGCGTATGAACGAGGCGGGGGAAAGGAAAGAGGAAGAAGAAAAAAGCATTTGACCTGGCAACTTGCTTTAGGCCCTGATAGGCCAAGCCGAGCTCTCCATCTTCATTGAGATAGCCCCAGTCCTCAGTCTTGCTAGAAATAAAGGACAGAGAAAAGGAAAACAAGAGGACAGGAAAGAAAGGCAAAATGTCAGTTGCAACAGAAGGGGGGAAAGTAAGGAGTCCCCATTACACTCAGGCAAACTTTTTAAAAAAAGAACAAAACGTCATTAAACTCTCTTCCCTTTGGCATCACTACTAAACTGTACATAAAGAGCCCCTCTCTAGTCCGTCGTCAGAATCCTCTTCCTACCCCTGTAATTTCACAGTCAGACAGTTGTGCCCCCTTCCCTGGTAATACAAGAGTTGCCGTCAGACACTGCACTCCTCCACCCCTGTCATGAGTGGAGCCACTGTTGCCAGCTAACATGATTTTATTACATCTTGTCTGATATTTGCCATTTTACTTCCAGCCCCAGCTTCTGGAGAATCTTAGCTTTCATGTTCATAAGTGGTTAGCCTATCTGGAGACAAGCTGGGAAGTCTGAGCCAAATAAACTCAAAAGGCTCAAAATCCAGAAGGCAAATTAAAAGAAGCCAACATTTACTATCTATTAAAATCTCATGATTTGGGGGGTGGACATAACTCGTCATTTTTAAAATTTGGGGTAGGCACGACTGGCCTCTCAAAGGTAAGCAAACAATATCATCCCTTTTCATGCAGAAAAGTCAAGTGACTTGCCCAAGATCACAGACTGAGTAAGAGGGAGAACCAGGAGTAAAACTAAGGTTTTCTGACTCCAAAACCTGCGCTCAAGCCACTGAACAGTGTTGCCTGCCGTGGTAGCAAACTGTGATGTTGCCAGCACTGGCTTGTGACAGTCAGTGTACAACTCGGACAGGGGTAATCTATTGTCACACAAGAATCATAGTAATTGAGAAGAAGAGTGTGGTAGTTTGCCAAATCCTATATACTTCTAATTTGGATGAGTGGGGCTGTCGCTCTCCATGGCAAAGATTTTATGGATTCCTTTTCCGGGTGGGCATGAATATTACCAACCTGGAGGCAAAGGGGGAGGATAAACAGCGGAATTAAAGGGTTAGGGAAGACTGAAGGAGGACAGAGAGAAAGAGCACAAATACTGCTGCCCAGCTGAGCCACTGCATGCTGCTCCTTCAGTCAGTGGCCGTGCCCCATACATGGGAGCCTCAAGGGGCAATACTAGGCCCAGCAGTCCTGACTGAGGATGCGGGTAAGGAAGGTCATTTGTGTTCATAGCAAAAGTCTTGGGAAGAAAAGGGAAAAAACAATGGAAGGTAAAAACAATTCAAAGAAAGTAATCAGTTGTGGTCTATTGCTAGCCCTTATTATAGCTTGGATTTTAGTTAGGCTTTTGACAGTGTTTCACATGACATGCTCATAAGTGAAGTGTGGCTTTGGTGAATTTACTCAAGGACTGGAGAAGGGCAAGCATAGTACCTATCTTTAAAAAGAGGAACAAAGAGGACCCAGGGAATTACAGCCTAACTGATACCTGGAAAGATACTGGAACAAATTATTAAAGAATCAGTTCATAAACACATAGAGGATTAAAAGGAATTTTCTTCTTTGAGAGGGTTGCTGGCCTAGTGGATAGTGGGGAAGCAGTAGACCAGATATATCTTGATTTTAATATGCCTTTTGACACAGTTCCACATGACACTCTAATAAGCAAACAGGGAAATATGGTCTAGATGAAATTACTATAAGGTGGGTCCACAACTGGGTGAAAAGCTATATTCAGTAGTTATCAATCGTTTGCTGTCAGACTGGGAAGGCATATCTAGTGAGGTCCCACAAGGGTCAGTCATGGGTCTGATACTAGTTAATATTTTCCTTAAAATCTTGGATAATGGAGTGGAGACTATGATTATACAATTTGCAGATGACATCAAGATGGGAGGGGTTGCGAGCATTTTGGAGGACAGGATTAGAATGAAAAAGGACCTTGACAAATGAGAGAATTGGTCTGAATTGCACAAGATGAAATTCAGTGAAGACAAGTGCAAAGTACTTCTCTCAGGAAGGAAATATCAAATGCACAACTATGTTTGTACTGCTGAAAAGGATCCAGGGGTTCCAGTGGATCATAAATTGAATACAAGTCAACAATGTGATGCAGTTGCGAAAAAGGCTAATAACGTCCTAGGGTGTATTAACAGTAGTGTCATATGTAAAATGTGGGAGGTAACTGCCCCACTCAACTTGGCACTGGTGAGCCTCAGCTGGAGTATTGTATCCAGTTTTGGGCACCACACAGTTTAGAAAAGATGTGGATAAACGAGAGAGAGAGTCCAAAAGAGCCACAAAAATGAATAAAGGGTTTAGAAAACCTGACCTATTAGGAAAAGTTAAAAAAACACTGGGGATGTATAGTCTTGAAAAAAGAAGACTGAGAAAGAACCTGCTAAACAGTTTTTAAATATGTTGAGGGTTATCACAAAGAGGATGGTGATCAATTGTTGTCTAAGTCCACTGAAGGTAGAACAAGAAGTAATGGGGTTATCTGCAGCAAGGGAGAGTCAGGATAGGTATTAGGGAAAACTTTCTATCTATAAAGGGCAGTTAAGATCTGGAACAGGCTTCCAAGGGAGGTTGTGCAATCCCCATCATTGAAGCTTTTAAAGAAGAGGTTGGACAAACCCCTGTCAAGGATGGTCTAGGTTTATTTGGTCCTGCCTCAGTGTAGGGGGGTGAACTTGATGACTTCTCAAGCTCCCTTCCAGGCCTACATTTCTATGATTCACTATTGTGGCATGGGGGGTATGCATTCATACATACACACTCACTGTCTTCTGGTACAGGCATATTAGTTACAGTTTTCTTAGGCCCTGTGGTCTTGATTTCTCCTCTCACTCAGGTCTGTTTTACAGTGGTGTAACTATTAACTTCAGTGGAGTTAATTTTGATGTACACCACTATAAGATTTTGATCCTTTTCCCATTGGAGTCTGGCCAATTACTTCAATGGAGGGGTTAGGCCTTTTGTGGGGGTAAGAATCAAGTTTGTATTTCAGTTGGTTTATGCTGGAAAACTCCACCAATAGAAAATGCACAAGACACTGGTTGTTAACTTTTCTCTGTACTGGAAAAGCATTCTGGCTCAGCTGCATTTTAGTTACTTTACTAATATTGGTCTAAACCCCATTTCAATGCAAGAGGCTCAGTTGACACGGGAACAACAATCTTGATGGAGCAGAGCATTCAAAAAAATCTAGCCTCTTGGAGCACTGTCTTCTTTGGTGCAGCTCCAGACAGAATCGAAGAAACTTACTACTGCTGTAATCTCTTATGCTTTTGAGCCATATCCTCAGCAGGAGTAAATCAGCATAGCTGCACTGAGATGACTGGAACTCTGCTGACTTACTTTAAGCAGGTGACCTGGTCCTCTGAATTTGAGAGCCTAGTCAGTTTCACTTTACTCCTCTTCCCCCTACTGGCAGTGAAGCTGAAGGGGATCTCAAAATCTAAAAGCAATATTTTCCACAACTTGAAATCTTTAATCTAGCCAGTTGCATTTTGCTATCAGCCAGACACTAGACAAAACTGGAGAGAGAGGACACCAAGAAAGGGAAGAGAAAACAAAAAAGCAAGGGGAACAACAATCATAATGAGAGAACACAACGGAGATCAAGGGGTAGGCGAGCAGACAAAGTGGAGAGGAAATGGCTTTGAGAACACAGAAAGCACATAGGAAAAAGGGTCCACTACCAAAAAATGAAAGGAATTTTCCTGCACTGAAATTTTTATTGGAACCTCTCAAATATCAATCTTGATCTTTTTTTTAAAAGCACAGCGTAGATATGACCCGGCTCTTAGGTTTGTTGTACATCCACACCAATTCCTCTAAGGGCAAAGCAACATGAATGGTTTCAGATACATCATTCCCACTGGCTCTAGTGGGCGAAGCACCGGGACTAGATTCTACTCCAAGTACTTGACCTGGGTTGTAGTTGCAGCTTTTGCCACTAGTTCAGTGTGTGACCTTGGATGGTCCAACCCTCTTTGCCTCAATGTCTCCATCTCGAAATCGGGAGAACATAATTACCCATCCCTGCATACCTCTGAGATCTTCAGACGAAAAGTGCAATATAAAAGGAAAAGGTCTAGTCTCCACTAGAAAAGGTTTGCCCAGATAGCTATGCCAGTAAACTCTCCTAGTGGAAATACAGTTCATACTGGCAAAAGCGTTCTTTTACTTAAACCAGTTTCCCAAACAGAATTCACCATACTGGCAAAAGACTGTTTTGCAGCATAACTGCCTACACTAGCGCTTTTGTCGACATACCTATGTCATTTACAGAAGCAATTTTTCACTCTCCTGATCCCGCTACGCTGCCAAATCCTGTAAGTATAGACCAGATCTCAATTCTTTCCCATTGTCCAGTACATTGGAAATTACTAGTTTTCTACATGAGATTTGCTCCCTTCTTTAATTGAAGAAAGCAAGAAGTGGCATTGTGATTAACCAAGCCTGAGCAGGTAAGGGCCCGATGGTTCTTTTATGGTGTTTTACATTCTCCCACTCTTACTTCAAAAGGTGTGTCTTTTCAAATCTACTGAGAGAGAATCAAAGACACTGAAGCCAGGAAAGGATTATTTAGTCTTTTCCTCTCTCCCTCTGCTTATACAGGATTGCTCTGTACAATATATTCTTCACTTCTTTGTCCAGTCCAATTTTAAAATGACTCAGTTACTCGCACTTCCACCGCTTCCTTTGGGAGACCATCCTACAGTGTGATAGATCTCGCTATTAGGAACACTCTCCTGATAGCCTCATTTTCCTTTGCTCAGTCTCATCCCTTCTATGCTTACTTATACCACTCAGAACAATTTATCTCCCATCTTTGTATTTACAACTTACCAATTCCTCTACTGTATCAGAACAGTCCCCCTTAGTCACTAAGGAAAGCTTTACATGCCAAGTTCTTTCAATCTTTCCTCAAAACCATCCCTCAAGCCCCTGAATCTTTTGTTGTTACTTTTCTCTGCATTCCCTCTAATTAGATAAAAAGGTGCCCAGAAAAATCTTGTCTCACCAGTGTTGTAGAAGTTGCACATTAGCAGTCAAATCAGTTTTAATGACAAAATGAAAGGAGCCCATTTAACTTTAATGTCTGGACATTTTACAAATGAATAAAATGAGATTTGTAATCTGGCCAAGAAACATTTGTTATAACTTGATTTATGTCACTTCAGTTCCAAAGTGAGTTTGAAGGTCTTTAAAAAAGGAAAATAAAATTCACTTGACAGTTTGACTTTCAAAGAAAAGTGAGCCACTAAAGAGATACATTCTGTGCTATATAAAATGCTGTAGTAGGATCCACTCAGCTGTAAGGAAAAGACTTATCTTTTAACTGAAAGTGATTTCCTTTGTGTAGGTAACTCTCAAAAGGGGTGGGAGGGATGGGAGTCAGATGTGCCACTCCCAAATGGAAACCACACACTTAAAGTATGGGTCTACTCTGCAAAGTGACACTGGAGAAATGGCATCATGGAGCCCCATGGTTATCCTCTCTCAATGATTTCCAGATCAATTTTGCTCAGTTTACAAGAAAAAATATTTTTTTTGACAGCTCTCGATATTCAGCATTTGATATGTCAGGCAAGCACCTGAATTGCACATCAGTCATCTAATACTTCTGAGCTGAGTCAGGTTTCTTGTTGATGAAGCAAGCATAGATCAGTAAATAACCCAGCTTGACTTTCAGCACCAGCTTGAGTTTGGAAAGCTGGCTGAAAAAAATCCAAGCCTTTTTTAAACAACAACAACAACTTGTAAATTGAATAATTTGAGCTGAGAGAACATGTAGACCCAAGATGTCGTTTCCACAGATTCACTCTTCAAAGGAGTTAAATCTCTGTGCACATAGAAAATATGCACCTAAAATTGGTGGGAGCCTTAAAAGCTATTTATTTCCTTTTAGCCAAGTTGATAAGCCTTAACACAATTCATCCCACCTGCCACCCCAGGTTACGAGGTATTTGTTGTTGTTGCAGAAGCAGTGTAGAAGGGTATCAGTACGAGAAAGGGAATGTCTACATATGCATATTACCATGAATGCTCTTCCATCTCACAGCTAATTCAAAGCAATGCTAATGTCTAAGCTCTGGAAACGAAGCACAGGTTAGATACACTGGCCAGTGGTCAGAGTTGTTTTCTATGTGCTCTGCTTCCAAGCCATACATAAAGTCAACCCATGGAAGAATATCTGGAGTTCTTCAGGCCTAGGGCAAATATTTTCTGAACTTTGGTGCTTAAAGTTAGTTTTCTCAATCCATATTTAGGTGCCTAGATAAAAGTGGCCTTTATTCTAAGCTCTATCATCAGCCCTGTGAGCTTACGTCCTCAGCACTGCTAAGCACCGACTGCCTTTATTTAGGTACTTACATATGCATTTAGAACCTTAACTGTGGGCATCTATCCATTTGAAAATTTTGGTCTATATTGTCTTACTGTGGTTTCTTCCAGAGGCGGAACAGCTAGCTGAGTTATACAGGGAAAGTTTATTTGATTGTCTTGAGTCAATTTGTTGTTTTAAATACTGATTTGTTACCATGCTTGTGGTCAGAGGCTCAGCACTGGGATGTGCATTTAAACATTGACAAATAAATAAATGATTGTCTTCACTGTTTATTAATTATCATTATTTGCATACTACTAACAGGAGAACTCTGACTGGATGGTGATTTTTCCCAGTTGATGTTCTTGCAAGACAAAAATCCTTCCCTCCTCCTGTTTTTATTTTTTAACCATATTAAAATGTGGTCAATTATGAAATCAACTCAAAGGGGTGCTATTATCTTAAGAGAAAACCACTTTGGGAATGATAGGCAATAAGCATTTATTCTGGATTCATCAGTATGGTATTGACTCAAAACCACTAAGGGTTCCCTCACCCAGAAGTTCAGATAGACTGATTCATTAAAAAGTCAATAGGACCACTCTTCTTTAATTAAGCGGATTAGCTAGTTAATGTTTACACCACCCTCATTTGTCAAAGTGCAATGTAAGCACTGCCGTCTTCTCTGAATAAAATCTGAAAGGAATTTTGAAACATCAAACTCACAAACTTCACTTAGTTCAGCTCCAACTAGGGCCATTTTCAGTGGTGCTGATGAAAGGTGCCAGACCTGCTCTACTGAACAGAGAAGTTCTCTTCTTGCCCATGTGGTGTATTTAGACAGTATTGTTGTCATTTGTTTTCTGTGTACTGAACCTTTAAATGGAGAGAAATTCCTCTCCCAGATTTTATGAATTCCTTTTCCTGGTGGAAAAGGAAAGAGCTTTCATGTGCCAGAGTTTACAAACTGGCTAGGTATGCTATTTTATTAGAAACCATTAGTCAAACTCTGCAACAGTTAGGTCTCATGAATATCCTGGGTAAATGAAAATTTGCAATGGGAAAAAACCCCTCTATTCCTGCCAGATAACCAGGTAGAGACAAGCAAATATTCAATTTCCTTGCAGTAAAATAAACATTTAATTCACTTATTAACTTGTCTCTTTACAAGATATTATCTATAGATCTTATGTACTCCTGGAGAGTTGCACAAAGCGAATTTCTCAACAACAGTATAAACTCTATTATTATTGTTGTTATTATGAAGGAAGACAAATTCAGAGTATGAACTATCACTTTAGGAAATCTGTAATCAAAGAGGATTCTTGGCTCAGAGTTTAGATACAGAAATAGCAGATAATGTGGGTGATGCCTGAGACTACATAGATGTGTACATTAGCTCATTTCACTGGAACAGACTTTTTGCCTCTAGGGAAATGGGATAGGCATTCTCCTAACAACTGACTTCCCAGCATGACATTAAGAGTTTTCTGAAACGACTAACTCATAATTCTTCTCTAAAATATAAGCCATATTCTACTCTTGCTACTATATCAGGGCTGGATTTAAAGATTTTTATATTTAAAATCTCTCAGTCCTTCAGCTCCATGGGTTTCCATACTGCAGGAGTGTACTGCTCAGTTCTGGACTCTGTACTGCACTGCCCAGCTTCTGCCATAAGGAAGCCCGTGTAGTGGAGGGTAACTCGGCTTTGGTGGGCATTTATTTTTCTCTCTGCAACCTTTGGTTGTTCCACCTGCCCAGTACTTCCCCTCCTTCAGCAAGGGGCAGACCCAATCCTCTGAGCTTTGGATCCTACTCCCAACTTCACAGCTCTTTCTCTCTGTAACAGGCCCAAACCAGACACTGAAAGCCAACAGTGCCCCACCATCAGAACTTACTTCAGATCTGAATCCATGCTTTGTGGCCTAGGCCCACCTTTGCTGTAAAGATCAATGGAGACACACTTACCGATTTGTCTGACACACCCCATGGTAGGCCTCAATTGCATCCTCTGCATCGACATGCTTGTCACTGTTTGGCCAGCTGGTATATGTGTTGATGTTCGAGTCCTAAATTTCACACGCAGAACAACATCATCATCATCTTCATGAAATCCCTTGGGTCTCATTCAAGTCTTTCAAACTCTGGATGCTAAGAGCGCGTTTAATGGCCTTTCCTGGAGGACCTATCCTATTCTGGCCTATTGTCTTATGTGGACAAGGGAGGGGGTATGTGCCTGTGGGGGTCAGGCAGATGAGAGTGGGCCTCAATAACGATGACAGATCGAGGGGGCACACTGTCGGTTTGTGGAGGAGATAGTTTGGGATCATGGTCTGAAGCATGGAAGGTGCTAAAACCTTGAGAAAATGAAGTGGAAATTTAAATCTCCAAATGCTGGAGAGGAGGGATTTTTATACATAACAGACTCGCTTTAAACAGCAGCAGGAAAAAACCCTCACAAATTCCAGGGGCCAAGTTTGGCTCTCGATTACCCAGGTGTAAATGGCGTTACTTTTTCTTTACACCCATGTGCATGAAAGCAGAACCTGGCCTACCTGTTCTCCTGTCATCTTCCCCCTTCCAGATGATATATCTTGTGATCTTGTGTAACAGGGTCCTCTGCCTGTCTCTCTTCCTGGGGCCCGCTGACTGCCCCAATAAAGCTCTGAGAGGCTTCCTGTTATGCAGCACCCGTGCCTTTATTTACACACACAGTTCTCCCACCACCCATGTTGAGCTATTTACCAGGGTTAGTTCCCTCTTTGGCTAGCAGTCAGCCAGGAGCCTGACCTTTCCCTCTGGCTGCCCCCTTTATACTGGCTCCCAGCCCTTATAGCTGCTAGCTTGTCAGGCCCATAGGTGAAGCCAATCCCCAGGCCAGGCATCAGGCCTGTTCCACCAGCCCCAATCTATTTCTCTTGATTGGAGCTGGCTGAGCAGGAGCTAATTAAGTGCTTTTGTATCAGCACCCTGCTACACAGAGGAAGTTTCAGATAATCATCCACTTTTGCGTACAATTTACCAAAGCAAAAGCATCATTTTTCATGAAATCAGGACAGGTAATGAATAGTCAGTGATAGGAGCGGAACAAGATTTTCCCTTTCAATTACCATATTTTTGCCAGTCTCTTTTTGCTGGGCTTCCTTTATAATCTGTGCCCTTAGGATAAGCACCTCCTCTTTCCTCACTTCCAGTTCCTCATTGGCTGATTTAAGCTGGTTTAATAAGAGGGTATAACTGTCCTGGATATCACTGGATGAGTTGTTTTGGGTCACCCGGTCTACAATAGTCTTCCTCAGCTCATTCAGTTCATTTTTCAGTTTCTTGTTCTCTGATTCCAATTCTTGCCTCTGTAAAATACCAAACCATTGTCTAGTTCATCCAAAGTGTCCAGCACATTTGTACAACTGCCTCATTTATTTCTGTTATGCCTTTAACGTAACTCAATTACCGATGAGCACTACTAAAAAAACAACAACTAGTGCTGATATCAGGGTTGCTACCAGTCCAGCCATGTGCCTTTCAAAACTATTATTCTGCCTCCCTTACTTCAAGTTGTACCAGGCTGTAATCGGAGACCCTTTGTGATTTACCAGTAACCACTACAGTGTAATTGACATCCATGAGAGCCAGTTAGAACGCTCCCATTTTGCTTGCATTTTATTTGCTTTCATAACCTTTGACAACTAGAATCACTAACAATATTTTTGTTGAAGAAACTTTTATAAAATATTACAATCAATTCAACTGCATTAACACATTTGAACCTCTAAGTTCAACACAGTGGAAAACACAATACTATTTTATTACATCAGCTATCTGGTCACATATATATCATCTATAACTAAAATCAGAACGAAGGAAGAGCAGATCCCACAAAGTGTCATTTTCAACCTGCACGAACATGAAGAAGTTCCTCTAGGAGAAATCTGAACCCAACATTCAGATATTTCTCCCTTCCCTTTTCTTTTCAATTAAGAAATCAGCACCAGAATGCTGCTGGTCAAAGTGCCAAGGATAAATTTGAATATTTTGAAAAGCCAGCCTCCAGGGACACATTTACTACCCAAAGTCAAGAGTTACAGTTTGGGGTAGTCCTTCATTAAATTCTGTCTCTCTTTTAAAAATTAACTGCAACCTCCCTGACCCACCCCTTCTCCAACAATTCCGCCCCCTGACCTCCACCACCAAACCAACCAAAAACCCTCCCAAGAGTTCAATGTGTTTGCTATGAGCAGTTGTAAGATTCCACCTAAGGCGGAGACGCACACTGTTCACACTGCTGCTTCACCATTTTAAATCTCCAGCGGGGTGAGTTACAGCTGTTTGAAAGCATAGTAGGATTTATTAATCTAATTTGTAGGAGTTGCCTCCACTGTGCTGTTTGCGGTTAGAGCATTTTCCTTCTCTGACTGCTCCTCAGTCCACAGCATTTGACGGACATGGTCAGGAATTCACAGGTTTTACGCCAGCTGTTTCTCTTGAATAATGATCCGTGTGCCTTTGTTGTACCTATTTTTGCTGAGATGGTTGCAACATTTATTATTTTATTTTTGCTAGGCAGGAAGGGGATGTGGGGCAGGGGATTAAAGTTCGACAGCTAAAGCAACCTCCACCCTGCATATGAGAATTCAGCAGTAACAACTGCTGGCAGGTAGCAAGTAAACTGTAGTTTAACCCGTGTACTGATATCTAGAAAGCACCTGAAACATCTGTTTGCAAAGTTAAGAACCCCCTGAATTAGAAATCCACCAGGGGCAGCACTGTCCATTGGTTACAGCAGCAGACTTGTGAGTCAGGACTAGGGCTGTCAAGTGATTAAAAAAATTAATCGTGATTAATTGCACTGTTAAACAAGACTAGAATACCATTTATTTAAATATTTTTGGATGTTTTCTACATTTTCAAATATATTGATTTCAATTAGAACACTGAATATAAAGTGTACAGTGCTCACTTTATTTTTGATTAAGAATATTTGCACTGTAACAAAAATATTTTTCAATTCACTTAATACAAGTACTGTAGTGCAATCTCTATCATGGAAGTTGAACTTACAAATGTAGAATTATGTACAAAAAAACTACATTCAAAAATAAAACAGTGTAAAACTTTAGAGCCTACAAGTCTAATCAGTCCTACTTCTTCTTCAGCCAATCGCTCAAATAAACAAGTTTGTTCACATTTGCAGGAGATAATGCTGCCCAGTTCTTGTTTACAATGTCACCTGAAAGTGAGAATAGGCGTTCGCATGGCACTGCTGTAGCTAACATTGCAAGATATTTACATACCAGATGTGCTAAAGATTCATATGTCCCTTCATGATTCAACCACTATTCCAGAGGACATGTGCCCATGCTGATGACGGGTTCTGCTCGATAATGATTCAAAGCAGTGCAGACCAACGCAGATCACTTTCATCATCTGAGTCAGATTCTAACAGCAGAAGACTAATTTTCTTCTTTGGTAGTTTGGGTTCTATAGTTTCCGCATCAGAGTGTTGTGCTTTTAAGACTTCTGAAAGCATGCTTCACACCTTGACCCAATCAGATTTTGGAAGGGACTTCAGATTTTTAAACCTTGGGTCAAGTGCTGTTGCTATCTTTAGAAATCTCACATTGGTACCTTCTTTGCGTTTTGTCAAAACTGCAGTGAAAGTGTTCTTAAAACGAACATGTACTGAGTCACCATCCAAAATGGCTATAAGATGAAATACATGGCAGAATGCGGGTAGAACAGAGCAGGAGACATACAATTCTCCCCCAAGGAGTTCAGTCACAAATTTAATTAACGGATTATTTTTTTAACAAGCGTCCTCAGCATGGAAGCATGTCCTCTGAAATGGTGGCCGAAGCATGAAGGGCCATACGAATGTTTAGCATATCTGGCACATAGTGCAGTTATGTAACAAACAAAAAATCTACATCTGTAAATTGCACTTTCACGATAAAGAGATTACACTACAGTACTTGTATGAGGTGAATTGAAAAATACTATTCTTTTATCATTTTTACAGTCCAAATATTTGTAATACTAATAATATAAAGTGAGCACTGTACACTTTGTATTCTGTTTTGTAATAGAATCAATATATTTGAAAATGTAGAAAAACATCCAAAAATATGTAATAAATTTCAATTGGTATTCTATTGTTTAACAGTGCAATTAAAACTGCAATTAATCGTGATTTTTTTTGAGTTAATTGTGTGAGTTAATTGTGATTAAATCGACAGCCCTAGTCAGGACTCTTGGGTTCTAATCTCTACTTTGAGCTTCATTCGGTGAATGCGGGCAAGTATCCTAACTTCTCTGTGCCTCAGTTTCCTCAGCTGTAAAATTATGTGCATCGCCTAGTGACACCTGAAACCCTAGTCATAACTTGTTTCCTATCATGCTAGGTACAAATACATAGTAGGAGAGAATTCCTTCCCCAGAGAGCTCACAATCGAGTTTAAGACAAGATGCAACAACGGAATGTACCTGTTGGAGGGGGACAGGGTGAAAGGAACATCTCACTATGTAAACTAGCTTATGTGCCCGATTAGCATAAAGTGAGAGAAATATCTAGCTAGCCACTTCACATCTACCCACCTCCTTTGCTAAGGACTGTTCCATGAACATCACTGCTCCAGTGCACTCTAACTGTTTGGAACTTGAAAGAAAATTAATCATCTTGATTTTGCTTTGTAACAGCATGAGTCATAGTTTCTGTTCCTTCCTGGTCCTATCGTAGTGTGCTCGTATTCAGTGCCTGGGGCTCACCTTGAAGCCCTTTTTCCCCCTCTCTCGCTCATGCAAGCATGCACACACTGCCAGCGATGGCTACATATGAACAGCCGATGAGGCAGCTGCTGTACAATTTTGCATATTGGGCCTGATCCATTTGAAGCTGATGGAGAGACTCTCGCAGACGGCTCTTTAATCTCACAAAATAAAAGGCATAAGGAGAGCTGATGGTGGGAAGCCGAAGCTAGACAAATTCAGATTAGAAATAAGGTGCACATTTTTAACAGTGAAGATAATTAACCATCAGAACAATGTACCTAGTGATGTGGCTTCCCCATCACTCCAAGTCTAAGTCAAGACTGGGTATCTTTCTACGAGATATGCTCTAGCTCAAAGAGAAGATATGAGCTTGATGCAGGAATTATTGAGTGAGGTTCTTTGGCTGTGTTATGCAGGAGGTCAGACCAAGTGATCCTAGTAGGCCCATCTGTCCTTAAAATCTATGAAACTATGAATCTCTGACTTCAGTGGGCTGTGGATCAGTCTCTCATACAACCATTTTCTATTGCATGTTGGAACATGCTTGTTTTAGGAGTATATATCTGAAAAAGTTAGCTTAATTATGTGATTTTCTCAGATGTTTTACAAGCATTAAGTAACTAACCCATTTGGTGTCTGAACCGACTGCATGCTCTTAGCTGAACTGACACTATTGTTAGCGGAATACCATCAGGTGCTTTACACCAGTGGCTCTCAAAGCCGGTCCGCCACTTGTTTAGGGAAAGCCCCTGGCGCGCCAGACTGGTTTGTTTACCTGCAGCATCCTCAGGTTCGGCTGATTGCGGTGCCCACTGGCTGCGGTTCGCCACTCCCGGCCAATGGGGGCTGCGGGAAGGGCAGCCAGCACGTCCCTTGGCCCGCGCCGCTTTCCGCAGCCCCCATTGGCCTGGAGCGGCGAACCGTGGCCAGTGGGAGACGTGATCGGCTGAACCTGTGGATGCAGCAGGTAAACAAACCGGTCCGGCGCGCCAGGGGCTTTCCCTGAACAAGCGGCGGACCGGCTTTGGGAACCACTGCTTTACACCATGAGTTGATCAAAATAAAGTTGGATCCTGCAACATGGATCCGTCTGTGTGAGTTCCACTGACTTCAGTGGGAGCACAGTGCGTGAAGGCTTTGTAGAAAAAAAGGGTTCTTGACACGTGCGTGACATTTACTTTTGTTCAGTAAATCCTGTTTGCAATAGGTCCTTTAAAAAAGTTACAAGGAAAAAAAATCTGTACAGGAAGCAAAGGGGGTAACAGATTTGAATTAAATTGGATAAGGAGAGGCTATTTGGAAATTTTTCACGCTCCTTTTCATTTTGCAGAGGGGTTGAATGGGTTTGTGAATATTTACAGGAATGCTAATTGCATAGACTGCTGAGCAAAGCCCAGAGAAACTGCTTGTTGATATTAAAACAAACGAAGAATTCCTCTAGCAGCACCCAGTTAGAGCAGGGAATGTCTAAGGCTGGCCGGGGTCAGAACTCCAAAGAGTCCTTCACTATAACAAGTTGATACCATTATTAACTGCCTCTATTTGCCTACTTCTGCTCATGCTCAGAAGTGACTTATGGACAGAA